CTCCATACATTGCGCCTATCTTTCAAGGTATATTTTGTGATATTTTTCCCGTTAACATACAAGCAGTCGAAGACTTTGAAGACGGGCCTAGCCGCTGTAGCAGAGAATGGATCCTTTCCTCCTGATATTGCGGCAGTTTTCAGAGTGCCAAATGCCACCATCTTATTCGTAACAGGATCCCATGTGATCATCTCGCCGTCTAATATAATACTACTTACTCTTGGATCGAACGCGTTCTTCATATGCCTTGTCAGTGCTGAATTGTCATCCTCAAAACCATTCCCGTAGAGATACGTATAATCTTTACCCTTTCTAGACCACCAGATAAAACGGCGACCTCCTGGAATATCATCATCCTCTTCCATGTGCATCTGGATTCTTTCGCCGTCTAATTTCTCCTCAATCCAAAATTCTGAACCATTGCCCTTATCGCGGGGATTTTGGGCACACATTTTTTCCACCATTTTCTCGAATGAATTTGACATGAATTGTGCGAGTTGGGGTTGGAAACATGACATTAATTCCACGCCCGTCTCATCAGCTTCTAAGGTGACATTGGGATCCGTAAGTTCCCAACAGACTCGACGGAGACTAGAAGAAACATTAAAAAGCGCCTCTCCATCTGGATGCCAGAGCTATATCAATGAATTAGTAGATTATCAGAAAGATTCGACAGCAACTTACATTAAGAAAAGTCTTTTCTGAAGCACCAATTTTCATCTGTCGAAGAATCATTCGAATCAACCATACTAATTCCTCCGCATTCATCTTCTGATAAAATTCCCGAAAGATAGGCAACTGATGTTCCTCCTTTTGCGCCAAAGCAAGTTTGTCAAGCATCTCATTAGCCTCCCCAATAGTCATATCTCCAACCTTCTGTCGCATGGGTCGTTTCGACAAAACCTCATAGCACCTACCAGGAAAATCCCCCGAATTAGCACTCGGAGGACCACGCGCAGGAAGTTTCCAGTTAATGAGATTATATCCATCATCCGAATCTTTAGACAGATTTAGAAGCTTAATAATGAGTCTTCCAACCGAAGCTTCTTTCAGCCCGTACATAGCTCGATCGCGATCTTTTTCGGGAATGATAAGTCGTAACGCGGGGTAGAAATCATCGCCCACTTCGCTGCGCCATCTCGACATAAATCGGACGATGATATTCTTTCGTATTTCATTAGGAGAAAGAGTATTAGGTCCATGTGGTCCTAATTTCTTTCGCGCAGCGGCTGGACCTGGCTTTTTATTCTTGTTGGCTTCAAGAGGATCGAAGAGAGATTGAAATAATTCGTGGAATGGTAATGTTTTTCCATGATTACGAGGACGATCTGGATATCTTTAATTTTGGTTAGATTTGATAATAATTGGAACGATTTCTAATTGATTCAACTTACTTGTCGTTAAGCTCTTCTTTACTAATGGTGCTATATGTATATTGACGTTCATCGTCAGCTATAGCCTCAGGACTTGGCTTCTTGTTTTTATTCTGTTGACTTGATGCCATGGTTCATGATATTGTGTTTTATTAAATTTGAAAATAATTGATAGTTGATTTTTTAAGTAGATCTCTCCAACGTTCAAGGGATCATGTTGCCTAGCCAAGCGCGATATTATCACGTCGTCACGTGTATATGCCTTAGTCTTGTCTTTTTGGCCGCTAGAATAACTTCGATGTCAAGTTAGAGCTTGAGCTTGAATTAAATAATACAGTATAATCACCAAATCACCACAAAACTTACCATCTCCAATGAAAATCGTATCCGTGGCCAATCATTCAAGTTTCGAAGGACTCCTAAAAATTTGCATAACTACTTGCCGTAGTATTGCTAGACCAAGGCGTCTGTAATTGTGTGCTGGAAATAACCACTATACCCCAGTAAATACTCCCCAAGCTCTCAACTTATCAGCGACAATCTAAAAGAGAAGTATACCAATTTCTCAGCTGCTTTATCACAATTACAAATTCCTCAATTTTACAACTTCCCACAGCAATTCTACGATTTCTTCCCACTTTTCTCACTTATTGATCCTACTTCTCTTCTGTCTTGGTAGCGTAGCGACCAGCTTTCATTCAAGATGTATGTTACGAGGTTTGCCGTCTAGATCACGTGGAAGTGCTCTAGGCTCTCGAGGTGGTTTATAACTAGGCGTCAAGCAGGGACTTAAAGTAATGACAATAATGCAATTCGTAACTAATAGTAGAGTATACTAAATGATTGATCTTGAGCACGAAGCTCTATACAAAGGAAATCCATCTTGATTATATAGACCTTCATGCTTCTATGATCACTGGTGATCCTTCATGATCCTTCATAATCACCTATACCGTGATCCTTAGTGATCCTTAATGATCACTACTGATCACTTGTAATCACGTGCCTTGGTCATGTAATGGTAGTTGTGTAGCCCGTCGTAACATATTTATATATATTTATTTAATTTTTTGTTTATCTTATTGATATAAAATCTTGTAATCTTATCAAAACAACTGTAACGATACTGTACCGGAGGCAGCGGCTGCCTGAGGTTTCGTCTGGTTGGTAGTTGTGGGTTAAGGCTTTATCACTAGTCTTCACTTGGAAGTGAAGTCGTTACTAGATCAAGTAGAATGTAGGTAAACTAATTGATAACTAAGTTGAGCACGAAGCTCCTAAACTATGAAACTACTCTGACTATATACTGAACAATAAAGGGGGCCCCTAAAAGCTTTCTGGCTCCTCTGTCACACTCAAGAATACTGGGTAAAGTATCTTGTATTAGAAAATACTAAGCTAAGGAGAAAAGAAGAAGGAAAACAAGAGTAGAGAGTTTTCCTATGATTAAATACAAACGGGGCATGCCACGTGACCCGGAGGTGTGAGGCGTCACATCCTCAAGACTCCTTATCACGCGATTTCTGATGGTGCGTGCGCATACGATCTTCAGGTGACCAAGATCACATACTAATTCGATGAAATCTGATCGTGTTTGCACACGGCCTAAGCTCTCCTAATTAATCAGTTTGTTACCATCGTAACACCATCAATCCTAATGGTGAATCGTGACAACAACAAAATTAAAAATTCAAGATTTAAAATCTAAAATATAAATATAATAAGTATAATTAATACTATCTGTTAAAAGGAATGACCTTACACAGGGAATAGTGGGAAGCTGATAGGGCAGAACTGAGGCTATATTGGTCTTGTATATGAATCACTCTGTAACGATATGTAACGATACTATACTAAAGGCAGCGGCTGCCTAAGGTTCGTCGGTTGGTAGTTATGGGTTAAGGCTTTATCACTGGTATTCACTTGAAAGTGAATACGTTACTAGATCAAGTAGAATGTAGGTAGACTAATTGATAACTAAGTTGAGCACGAAGCTCCTAAACTATGAAACTACTCTGACTATATAATGAACGATAAAGGGAGCCCCTAGGAGCTTTCTGGCTCCTCAGGGCTCCTTATCACGTGATTTGTGATGGTGCGTGCGCATACGATCTTCAGGTGACCAAGATCACATACTAATTCGATGAAATCTGATCGTGTTTGCACAAGGCCTAAGCTCTCCTAATTAATCAGTTGCTACCATCGTAACACCATCAAACCTAATGGTGAATCGTGACACACTCATTCTCCTACAGAGAGCTTCTCAATCTAGTCCTAATAGAACTAGTGCCCTATGCACGTGCTACGCAGGAACCATTCACTTTAACACTATCTATATAATATAACATTATATCACTTTTTCATTATATTTATATAAGAAATATATTAATACATTAAGATCAAGATCAAGGTCAATAATAATACAACTTGTATAAAAATACCATCAAATCCTACACTTATTATATTTGCTTTAATTATATACACTTATCAACCTACAAACTCAACTCATCCACATCCTAAACTAGACTAGACTAGCGCGAGCCATCTATTGAAAATCTAAAGTCCTTCTTCTAATAAACTCCCTTTACTACCTACGTTGCATTGTATAGGATAGCATAGCATAGCTTCTCCATTATTCCCCTATTCCGCATTCCGCATTCCCCATTAATCAAATACACCATTCCATTTCAATCCGATTCCAACCTCCGCACACCTCTTCTATACACTCATCTCTCCGCTCCCCCAAAAACCCGAAAAAAGAAACCGATAAAAACTACGACCTAATTTTAATCCCACCCATCGGCCCCGCACTCCCCCAAACACTAGATCCGACCCTACCGGGTAACTTTCTCCCCTTCAACCTCTGATCAATAAGCCACAATCCCACCACAAACTCATCTTTTTCCAACCGTCCCCCCGCCTTCATATTCGCCACAAGACGACTTCTGTATCCCCTGCCCTCAACCAAACCCCACACTTCTTCTAAAACATCCTCCCCTAGTCTACTCCTTTCCCAAATATCCCTAACCACGATACCGGGCACGGTATCCACCGCGCCATCCACTTCTACCATTTCCCCATCCTGATTAATCGTATATGGAAATAATCCTTTATTACTAGCCCATACAGCTTCATATCTTTTTCTCTCCCTTTCCGTGATCCCGTCTCTCCAACGTTTCCGATTTCCCTCATTATGTTTATTCGGATGTTTTTTAACCAAATGTTTTTTAGCTCTTCTTTTCTCTCCCTCTCCTTCTTCTTCCTTGAGTTCCTTTCCCGTTTTAGGCTTCCTCATCGTAGTTTTCATAATTGGCACTCCAGCTGCAGATCCATTGTTATGAGGAGGTGTAGGTGTCCTGGAATTATCGGAATGGAAGATATGTAGATTTTTGTGTCGTCGAGTAGGAGGAGGAGCTGGAGCCCGAGTAGTTCCAGAAGATATGGAAGGGGTAGAAGCACGGGATGAGGCGAGAGACCCGGCTACGATGGCATTGGCCAGGGAATTGACATTCATTGAGGATATGGAGGTTGACTGACTTCGTTTTTGCTGCGCTATTTTTGCACGGAAGGAAGGGGATTTGGGTTTAGGTTGGGAAGAGGCGGAAACAAAGGAATCATCTGAAGATCCATCATCATCGTCATAATTATTGTTGTAGGACTGCTTCGATACTGGAGGTTCGAATGGCGGTTTAGGTCTGGGAGATTTAGGCGGCGTCTTGGTCGAAGAATGTCGTGGAGGTTGGACGGGAGGTTTTAAGGATGGTTCGTCTCGGTCAGCAGGTTTCAAAATAGGTGAATGCATTGAAAGCGGCCGAGGAGCTTGCACTTGAGGCTTCGCAGATTGGGTATTCAACGCAGGAGCATCGGCAGGCGTATGTCGCGAGGGAGGTATGGAAGGTTTTTGTACTGGTGATTTTGAGAGTGACTCGGTAGATTCCATAGCACGAGGAGATATAGGTCTAATAGATTGCGATGAGGGTTTTGCTGATGGCTTGGTAGGCGGAGGGCTATGAGAAGAAACAGGCCGAGAGAGCTTCTGTATTGAAGGCTTCGCGGAAAAGTTTGGCGACGGGCCATGAGAAGAAACAGGTCGAGTATTATGTATGACAGGTTTCTGCGCCGGAGATTTCGAAGACGGCTTTAAAGTCACAGAGCCAGGAGTATATGAAGAAACAGGTCGTTGTTGCACTGCAGGCTTTGAGGTAGATTTGGTTTCTTCAGATATAAGGTCTTGGGAAGAAGAAGGTCGAAGTGGTACTGAAGCCTTCGCAGCAGACTTCTTTGGCTCTAGCTCCGACGTATGAGAGTAAACAATTTGGGGTTGGACTGCAGGTTTTCCAGGTGACTTTATTTCGTCAGAAATAGATGCTTGTGATGAAGTATTCGGAGGCTGTACAGCAGGTTTCGTCGCAGACGACTTCACCAGCTCCACGTCCGGCACGTGAGAAGAAACCGGTCTCGTCAGCCCTTCCGGCTTCAAAACAGGCACAGGCGCATGACTCGAAGCCGGTCTTCTCAAACTCTCTTGTCTACTCACAACCTCGTTTCCTCTATCACTACTACTCTCTCCCCCTCCTCCTGCACCTCCTTTCTTCACACCCCTATTCGCCTGCTCCCACATCCCCACCAAATTAGATGTTGGAGGAATACTCGATACATCTAACCTCCTATCCAGACTATCAATCGAACTCGCGTAACTTTGTCTTCTACTCATTAATGGACTTCCCTGTTTCCCTAGTCCTCCCCCAATCCCAATTCCCGTCCCATGACTTTGACTTGGACTACTCTCCCTACTCCTTTTTGCCGCCAAATTAGCCGCCATAAAGGCTGCCGAACTACTCTTCATATTCGCACCATGCTCCGTCATGCTATTCCCACTACCTGAAAAAGGAGGTAATAAATGTCCATTGGATCTCTGCTTTCGTTTTTGGAGCCCTGTGTGTCCTATTTGATGTTCCAGTCTTCCATTAATACTTCCCCCATCGGTCGTTTGACTCTCTCCTGTTTTCTCACTCCCTAGTATATGTTGTCCATGAACCGTCCCCTCATCCATCGCCGAGACTTTCGATGGACTTCTCGTTCTACCTCCTCCTCCAGCATTGTGTCCCACAGCTCCAGCCTTCGCGGCAGCCGCCAATGCCCCACCATTCCCATTCAAACCCTTCTCCCCCAATTGCACATTCCCCTTATTCGGAACCGGGGGTACCACTCTCGCTTTCGCTCTTCCCTCCTTCGCATTCGAAAAAGCCAAAGAAGCACCCGTCAACGCAGCATTTTGCGCAGCTGATATCCCTCTTCCCGTTTCTGTTCCTGCTCCTCCTACATGTGTATTGCGTAGAGAATTGATACTCGGATTATGATTAATTCGCGGTGTTGAAGATGTAGTCGATTGCAACGTCGAAGTCGAAGCAGAAACTGAGGCCGAATTCTCAAACGCAGCAGATTGTTGTGTATTCCTCGCAGCAGTACTCGTACCAGTTACCGGTCGAGTAAGTTTCGCCGTCTTCGTATCACTCGCATCACCATTGAAAATTGGATCCGCCATGATAGCTTGCTATGCAATGCTACAAGCTACAATCCTTCATACGTAATTTCCGCGACGCAAAGAATTTCGAACTCAAAAGCATTGGGACGGATTGCGATGGTATTGCCGTGGCGGAAGTTTCGTGAAGCTTACAATTCTGTGAGTAAGTAGCTACCTAAGGTAAGGTACTCGTATTGATGAATAGCATATGCAAAGTATTGTGGAGTTAATTAATGATCCCGTCCGTCATAAGATCATTGCTTATACGCTACGAGACGTGTAATAGAAGATTCCATTCCATTGATTCTGTCAATCAAATCATTATCGAATCAAGAATCAAAAGAAAAGATTATGATGAATTCTTGAAGTGAGTGTTCTAATAAAGCGCTTCATAATCGTATTCAAATCAAATAAAACAATCGCATAAATTTGTACATAGATAGGATATTAATTTAACCTGAATACTAGGAATTTACTCTTATCCACGTTTGCGGCTAACGAACCCATCTATCTAGGTAGGCTGGTTTTAGCTTCCCCCTAGGCACAAGCCGCAACGTTGAAAGCGTTACTTTCCAGTCCAGAGCAGCCTAAGAATCAGGCCTAAAAATAAATAGAAGAACGCTGGAATAAATAGAATAACTTCCATTCTTCAGTCCAGCCCTGTGAGAAATGATTCGAATTCATTCACTATCAACAAAAATTTGTTTATTTATTCCGTTCCATCGAGCTAATAAAAGCCGCTCATTTACCTAGTAACCCCTGTAAACAAACACAACCTTAAAAAAAATCTAAAAAATTTATCTTTTTACCTCTATCATCTCTCCCATCTCTCCTTATCAATATTCACAAGGTATAACCACCATGAACCAGTACCCAGTAACTCCATTCCATATCCGTCTTCATCTCTTCAACATCAACAATAAATATCAAACATCTACACCTGTATTTACACCTACCTACCTAAATCTTCCAATTTAACATAATTATACAAGGTTACCTAGATGACTAGTAATCACGCTTCATCACCAAAATCCTATTCTTTCAAATATCACAACAACTTATTGATTCTCATTCTATATAAATAGTTATTGTGTACCTCTCCATTCATTCACCCTATGTATCCATTCGCGCAAGTCCTCAATCACACACAATAATCATCACAATCACACTCCAGAGATATTGTAAGAATATCTTCAATCTTTATTCATATCCGTATAATCTATTTTCCCTCAATCCACGAGGATAGGTATTGGAAAAGTTCCAGCCAGTATCATATCGACTCCATCCGTTTCCAGTGCTCCCCATCCAATCATCATCTGAAAATCCATCCATATAAAACTCCAGTATAGGATGATTAATAGAACAATCCATATCGTATTGGACGAAGCGTCTCTAAAAACAAAAACTCCCTTAAACCGCTGCGCTCGTTATCGCTATGAAGAGCTCAAATTCCAAACTCCCCTAAATGTACTCATAAAAAATTCAATCGTGAAATGAAAGTTGTTCTTCCGCCACCGCTAATAGACACACGCATTCAAGTTTCGTAATTGATATGCAGAACCATGCCTTCCGGACCCTTGGTGCATGACAAGTTTCATTCTCATATGTGAGATGAGGTAATGCTGGTGGATCCTGTTTTTGGACCTGCATTTCAGCCCGCGCACTGGATTCCCAAGAAGTCAATCTCCTCATCGCTAGGGCTTTGACCTCTCTGGAGAACACATTGGACCACTCCGACTTTACCCGCCATTCCAATTCCATTTTCTTCTTGCTTAAAGATCTGCTGGAAGCCTCGGCTGTCATCATGCCATGCCATATCATACCACTCGTGAATCCTTACGCCAAACCACACACATGACCATAGACAGTCATATGCAACCACCAATCCCTTGAATGGATATTTCAAATCAAAAGCGACTGTTCGACTGCTAGACGTTGTAACAGAAAATGCCAACCTATTACAGCTCCAAGTAAAAAATTTCGTAATCGGAATTCCTCTACCGACTGATAAAATTTTCAATAGAATGCATAACACCGAAGTTTCCATGTGTCATCGTGTAAAAAGCCTTTTCTCGTGCTCCAGGGTAAAAGTGGATAAATTGAATAAGTCGATGGGAATACACCCACCCGCTGGAAGGGAATGCGTTTTGTGGGACTAGCGTGGTTCTAGAAGGTCGGTATTTGGAAAGGCGTCTCCGGTGTGAAGCCCAACTACCGCTTGAGATCCGCCCGTCGGAAAAAATCATGAACCATGAATTTGAGCCAATGACATGTGAAGACTTGAGAAGCCAAAAGCTTGTCGGTGAGAGTGTCGCGTGAATTATGCCGGATAGTCTGCGACGAATGTCTGATTCTGTTTAGTAAGTAAGTGCAGTCCATCGAAGAGGAACTCCATCGTTTCCAATTTCGTAAGGTTTGCTGGATGCCTGTCTGGGTGGTAGAGCCCATCTCGCTCTTCCCGGTTTGCGGTCATCCAACTTTCCATTTTTTCGCATTGCCATTTCCATGACTGCAATTCGGATAAAATCACTATTCTCCCTCATATCGCGTTGACGTGCGACTGGACCGGTGGCAACCTCGGCGAAAGCCTGCTCAGAATTTGCTTGTCCGCGCCTGTTGGGTCCGGCTGGCGGAGTATCCCTTGGAGACTTGGAAACCTTGTAGGTTTGCATCTGAATGGATGCTGTGCATTGTGTAGCACTCATTGTTTGAGTGAGAGATGTTGGCACATGAGCATCCATGGGTGCATTTGTAGTGGGGTTGAGATAACGACGTAGTGCTGGAGTAGGTGTATCAACCAGTAGAGGTGGCATCCTTTCATCCGTAAACGGGACTTTCGGGTCAATTGACATGATAGATCTTGTAAGAAAATCATCAGGCGTGATCATAGGTGCTGTGAGACTCGAGAATGATTTTGCCGCGGACCTCAGAGCACGCAATGATGCAGTCAAGTTTGATTTAAATGCGGACTTGCGACGTGGGGGTTCGACACCGGCAATAGGTTGTTGATCCTTGGGTAAATCTAATGCTCGTTGGAAGACTCTAAAGTCAAGCTCTTCAACATCCACATCTGATAAGGGATGGTCGTGCAAAGTACTTTCGCCTGAAAACGATGGTTGATACCTTCGTGTTGGCAAAGACCTTCTGCCTCTGGAACTCGGTGTTATTATTGAGCCTGGTGTAGTGGAAGCATCACTGAGAGAGGCATCATCCAACGATGGTACGGATTCGCTCGATGTAGTCCTACTCGACAATACCGATCCGGGCCCGTTCTCCGAACCACAACAATCGGTCGAATCGATGTCTTCTGGAGGACTCAACAACAACTCCATAGGACTCATCCCGAACGTTATACTCATTTCTTTCTCCGAAACAGCAGTATGTTGTAATATAGCATCCACCGTCAACCTTTGTCTAGATGTAGCTTGTCTGCGAACGCTGTTGTGTGATTTAGGAGGTGGAATGGCGGTAATCGCCAACAGGGCGGCGACAGAAGGAGGGATCGCATCGGGCGAATGGACATCGTGGGGGCGACGACCTGAACGTGTCGAGTACTTTTTGGTAGTTTGTCGACGATCCTTTCTTGGTTCAAATCCCAACCCATTTTTGAAACTATCGTGGTGGCCTCGGGTAGGAATCACAACTGGCGATGAAGTAAAGTTGGTCGTAAGCTCAGGACTGAAAGTTGACTTTGGCATGTTTTCTGAGGTTTGTTCATATTTGGATTCGGAAGTCGATTTGGAAGAAGATGTTGAAGGTTTTGATTTCGATTTTTGTGTAGTGAACAATGAGAAAGAAGTAGGCATCATGTTGCTCGCGTGCCCTGAGAGCTACTGCATGAACCAGTTGTAATTTATTACTTGATAGAAATCAAATTTGTCGGGGATTTAAATAATACGCTCAACAGGATTCGTCCTTGAAAATGAAGAGGAAAATCTGTGCAAACAACAATTTAAAAGTCTTATCGGAAGAAGTTATCGAGCTGTTTTGTATAATTTCAAGTTGTTAATACACAGGTCATCGCAGTACTCGGCTTGTACTGTGATTCAAGAGCTTATCATGACTTAATGGTCGGATAATGTGGGAGAATATTGGTGTAATTACAAACAAAGGTGTAGTATGTGATAGATTTGAGAAGTTTCGGAATATTCAACCTTTTACATTAAAAGACGATTAATAATTTTGGAGAGAATATAAAGATAAATAAACGGAGAAAATCGAAGCAGGAATGTTTGTAGTTTGTGTCAAGGAGAAGTCCAGCTGATTTGAATCACCACTTTAAGATGAAGGCTATGGATGGCAGGAGAGGCAGGACAGGGCAGGGCAGGCTACCTTTGGAGATAAGCTGGAATGAGGGAGATAAGCGATAGCTATCGTATACGATAGTGGATGAGTGGGTGGGTGGTAGAACTGGTAGAACTGGTAGTAGCTTTTGAAGTCCGACCTGAAGGCTGGAGAGCGATTTGGCTTATGAAGATCGGATAAGCTTTTGGGCAATTGGAGTACGTCAACAAAGTGATATGTTGTCAATGATGCACCCAATTCCAAGGCTTGGAAGGAATCAGATTGAAGAAGATTGGACAGACCAGATGGAAACTGGAAAGGTTTAAAAGCAAATGATGAGAGATCTCTCGAATATCTTCTCCAATGACGATAAAGGAAGGGAAACCCCATTTAAATGTTTTGCAGCAATGAATCATCAACACATGCTTTCTCTTTTTTTTTTCTTTTTTTTTCCCCTTCCCGTCCACAACACATATCATTTGGATAAACACAGTACGCAAAAGGGTATAGAGAGTGGCCCTGATCCATTCTTTCACCCATCTCACATATGTACATCCTTATCCTTGAAAGGCTTGAATGGCTGGAGGAACTTCCTTCGAGTAAGGCTGGTGGACATAAGTACCGGGGCAAGGGATAAATGATGATGCTGATGCTGATGTTTATTTGCCTGTGGAGCAGATACCTTACCTGAATAGTAGGTACCGGTGCATTCAAGTGCATTCATTGAATTTCATTCATTCATTCATTATTCATTATTCATTGGATTTTGGCTTCAACGGTTATGGAGAATTCCAATATATTTGACTTTCCTACTTTCGCCTAAAGAAATCAATCATTCACAATCAATGACACTGACTTTCCGAATCATATTATCAATTATCATCCATCCTACTACTGTACTCCGTACACATCTTTCAACTCAGTGTCATCGTCGTCGTCTTATTGTGGTGAGACGACCTGCCTAATCAATCACCTTATTCAGCAACAGGGACATATCCATTTCGAGGAATTGATGCCGTGTTTTGTGTTACTGCTTGTGTGCCTATTCATTCATTATTATTCATGGACTTGGCCGGAAGTCCGGATACACAACTTCAAGGCGGATGGATCTGTTCAATCTCAATCAATCTCAGGTAACCACTTTGAGGTGTTCATCCTGTAGTGTTTGTGTTTATAACAGACCGGATGATAGAACGATTCACTTGAGGTCCTATCAATTAATGTATTTAGACGCAGAAGGAGAAGGAGACAATCTCGCCTTATCCACCTTCCTGTTGTATCAGCTGAAATTGAATGTCGCACCGGTGCGGTACTCCCCCCTCCTCCAACAACTATTAACGGATGGATACATACTACTACCTACGACCTAGGTACAATCTATCCATGACACAGGACAAATGATACATGATACATCTTGGTTCTCGTCTTGGGCGTTTGATGATTTTTGTTCAGTGTGGGTCTCAAGATCCTTCTGCTTTATTTTAAATCATTTCTCTGCATTCTGATTGTCTCCTTCCCTATCACGAGAAAAATCTTTAGCCACGTCAGTCAAACGCTCCGCTATGTGAATTTTTTCGCTTCATTTATATGTTTCATCATTTTCATGGTTAGGTTGTCGCGGGTGTTGGGCCTGATTCCTTGAACTGGTGACTGAGATACCGGTACCCCAATCCGAATTTAGTAAAAGGATACGGTTATGAGCTCGTTATGAGCTCGCTCTGCCGAAAGAAGACAGTTTTTTATTTTTTATTTTTTATTTCTTTTATTGACTTGAGGATAACCTGATAACCTGTCCCTGCTTGTTTGTGCATGGCTTTTTAGAGCAGTTCTCCGAAGTTTTGCAGTTACAACCCTTGTAGTAGTACCAAGGATAGGGATAGGGATACTACGGAGTACTGGTTTCCCGGTGTTCTGTACGGGGAAACTTTAGAATCTCCACATTTTATAGAATTTCCACTAGGGATAACCTCACAAACGTATGGTAGTACAAGTTTCGCATGCTTTTTCATGTCAAATCCACAAATACGCACAAAATTAAGGGTCTTTTCGAAAAAGCATAATGTTACGATCAGCAAAGCTCCCTGACTCCCTCCTGCGTGGATGACCCTTGAAAAAAGTTGAAGCAAGTTCAAGCAACCAATCTGTTTTGCTTACACCAATTTGTATGTCAGACTTTTGACCTCCTCCCCACGATATCACATTCAACCTTCTTGTCCAAAGAGCCAAAGAGGCTGCTGCAAGTGTATGCTTATGGAGTCCCGTTATCATCAGAATATGATAGGTTAGGAGATATATAAGATGATCCACTTCCAGGTACCAACGAACTTCCTCATTTGTTCTCGAAGAAGTATGACTTCTCAAAATTATCTTCGCATCTCGCCTCCTCGGATATTTAATAGTATCAATCGGCGATCGTTCCATTTCTGCCCAGGTGTGATGTCCAACCTGTCCAGCGGAACGTGATAGCTCACATTCACTGGTAGGACAGTTAAAAGCCTTTGGTTACACGACGAAGTTTGGATCTTGAATATATATGGAGGTCGACACCATTAGGAAGAGGAATGTCTATCTGGCAGATAACACATTGGCACGTTTTGTACTGGTACCGACATGCCAAGACTTTACACTTGCTTATCTCGTGGATCGGCTAGGAGCGACTTAGAGTTTAAAATCTGGGGTTAACGTCCTCGTGAACTGGTCGGCTTATCATATGGAGGACCCTCCGGTTGATCTAGTGACAAGCAGTGTACAACATTACATGGCGCCAATGAAAAGTTTTATGTGGAATTAAGGTCATACCGATAGATGAACGAGTGGGTCGGTGTCCTCGTGATGAACCTCCACGTGGTATGTAGCACTTCCGCTGGATGAAACAAAGCTGGGTGTACAGATTTATGAAACGAGATCAAGATGGGATTCTTTTTGAGATACTTGTTTGGATAATTTTAAATCATGGGTGATTTATAGCTTGATTGGATGATTCAATAAAATCGAACAATGATATTGTACATTACAGAAAGGATCAATTAAAGATTGGCTTAGTGGTTATTTTAGGCAACAGATGGAGGTTAGATATACCTTTTATGCATCTGTACATTCACCTTTGCTTATTCTTCACATATCGATTTTGCTCGTAACTATAGAAACCGACAATTATATGTTTGATAGTTCTCATGTAAAGCAACCTTACAATCGTTACTTTTGTTCCATACGAATATCCTTTGCATAGAACCCTTCCTCCAAAGCTTACATACAACTCACTAAATCAACATGCTAATATCCAAATCCTCTAATCTCTAAGCTAAATATACTTATGTACTGCGTAGAATTTTTACAAAGCAAAAAGCTATCATAATCAATAGCCGAAAAGTAACACTCCAAGCTCAAATCAACCGTAATCTCGAAGTCCTAGTTTCATGCGATATTTGTTTGATGTAAAAAATAAAAATAAAAGCTGAATTGGCATTTCCACTAGAGATGTTCTATCATGTTACGTCTGTTCTGTAATTAATTGGCTCTTTTGAAACACTTGGACGCTTCCTTCCTTCCTTCCATGTCGGAGCAGCACAAATTTGAAGTTTTGGCAGATTTTTTGAGGGAGAGGTGTTGATCTCAGCTTTTCCGGGTAGAATTTCTAGGATGGGGAAGTAGTTTCTTTATTATTAGTTTTTAGTTTAGAATTGGACTTTCCTTGTTAATTCATTAAATGCTGGTATTTGGATACTAAATCGATCTAATCTTATAATTTACCTTTCATGGAGAATTAGAAGGTGTGCGAAGATTTGGGTTGGTAGGTGGTATTCTATTCTATTCTGTTCTGGTGATTGGATTGGTTGGTTAGTTGGTTGATGGATATTAGGAGAGATAATTATAGGGCTAGAAGTGATTATGTGATGTGATTTGAGGGGATTGGAGTGCTGGGAATGTAGTATGTAGTAGGTATTAGTAGGTATATGTTGTTTGTTAAATTACTCGTAGCTTGTAGTTCGCAGTTCGCAGTTCGCAGTTCGCAACTTGTGGAAATTAAATCCTTTGATGGGAGCTTGTGGATGGTAGTAAGTAGTGCTTTTAAGTTGTTGACTTTTATTCGTTATAATGGTCGATGTTGCGAGTTTGCGATGGCGGTAAATATCAGATTATTACATGTTGATTTCAAGTTATTATTAGTGGGAAAGGACTGGTTAATTATGGGTTTATTATTTATTATTTACTCTTTATTATTTTTACTTATTGCTGTTCGAAGAGTATAATATTTTTGTAATAGTATAGTATTGTGACTCTGTAATTAGGATATAAGTCTAGTACCCGTCTTTTCGGCCACCTGTTACGACGGGCTACACAACTACCATTACATGACCAAGGCACGTGATTACAAGTGATCAGTAGTGATCATTAAGGATCACTAAGGATCACGGTATAGGTGATTATGAAGGATCATGAAGGATCACCAGTGATCATAGAAGCATGAAGGTCTATATAATCAAGATGGATTTTCTTTGTATAGAGCTTCGTGCTCAAGATCGATCATTTAGTATACTCTACTATTAGTTACGAATAGCATATCATTATTGTCATTACTTTAAGTCCCTATTTGACGCCTAGTTATAAACCTACCTCGAGAGCCTAGAGCACTTCCACGTGATCTAGACGGCTACCCTCGTAACATGGTATGGGTATTGGCATGGAAGTTGGGGATTACTATGTGATCTCGATATGATTATTAGAGAGGCATGGATGGACAGCTACTAGGGAAAAAGCATGAGATATGAATTATAATGGGATGATTATTAGCTTGGGAGTTGGTCTTTTGAGGGGATGACGGAGGAGAATATAAAATCTAAATATATTGAGAAAGTTTTTTATTTATATACTATGTTCTTATAAAATATATATAAACAATAACTAAAAGTAGTACTAAAAACGACTAATAGTATAAGATTAGAATAAATAATTTTTCCGATTTTTGAACTGGATAAATTTAATTTGTATTATATATATACTTTTTAATATTGTTTTATTTATGTGAATAAATTGAATATTCAATGTTAAATAATATATGTACTTTATATTAGGATACATCTAGTCTCTGACTACCTAACTATATAATACCTCTCTAGAAACTCTAAAGGGAAATCTTCCTTATATTTCTCTAATTCCTAGTTTTAAATATCGGATATCTCGTTTAGAACTCAACTACAACATCTTTTTTACAATTACTACATATAACATCTTAACATTGTAACCTGGATTTTGCTCGAGGGATAGGTTACGTGGTGTAATAATAAAATGTTTTTATATCTAAAGAAAATTCTACGTTACGGAGAAGATTGTTTCAAACAAAGTATGGAGATGAGGGATAGATAGGTGATGCTCCTCATAAAATATATAGTAATACTACGTATACCTTTCAGCCGGAAACTCTTACTAGGTTCTAAGAATTCGCCTCTCTACCGCTATCGTTCCTGAATAGAAAGAGTAAATGCTCAGCTGGGAATATCATGCAGAATGGTTTGAGTGGCCTATACAGTCAATTTATTGGTTATTGGTTATTTGACAAGAGTTGGAGGTTGAAGGAACTGTGTATCTACTTCATCTATATATCTAGTCTAATCTAATCTATTCGTTTCTCATTTGCAGATGGTGAGTCTGAGCAATGTCTCTTTCCTTATTGTCTGCACCCGAATCGAAGAATTCAAAAAGTAAACTTATATCCCACGGCCCATTTCCTCCATGATCTAATGCAACACCACTCTCCATCCGCTAAACCCCACAATCTACACCCTCCTAGCCAACAAAAACAAATGCGGCTCATCCTCACTATCCGCCTCCTTTGGAGGTCTATAAACGTCGTTCCACTCCTCCACAATCTCAAACCCATTTTCCTTCAACAACCATCTCCACCCATCTCTTGTAAACAGCGACAACGTAACTACATTTCCCATAAATCTGCCCTCTATACCTCGACAACAAATTCCATCCTCATCATATCCTTTTCCCTCCCCATCTCCCTTTCCCTCTCTATCCCTCGGCCGTAAATCCTCAGCCGCAATCATACAAATACAAAGAAAACCACCCACTTTAACCCAGTCTCGCCATTTAGAACCCAAAGATTCAATTTCAGAGCGAGAAAGCGCAAACAGAGAAAGGATGGCGAATATAGCGTCAAAACCTCCATCATTTTTCTTCAGATCAGAACTCCAATGCTCAAAAGGATTAAATATTCGCATGTCTCCCATGGCAAATTTACCGTTGGGCACCGAGGTTTGGCTGAGGGTTATCATGGCCTGGGAGAAATCTAGACCGTAGATTTGGTGACCTGCTGAGGACAAAGTGGAGGCTACGGGACGACCGGTGCCGCACCCCAGATCGAGAATTTGGGAGTTTTGGGGGAGGACTGGAGGGGTGTTAGGAGAGAATACTTGGGGTGTTGAATTTCGGGGGATATTTGGTTTCAATTTAGAAATGAGGATAAAGAGGCAAATGCGGTTTCAACAAGTGGGATGAAGGTGTAAGAAAGGTATTCTAAGAGAATCAAAAGTCGGTATATGGAACACAATGCAAATAGAACTAGCTATTGCACGTCGAAATAAAAACCAAAATCGCAAGGAAAAGGTCTTAGGAGAACAATTAGAGAATAAATCCAACACCCAAAATCTAAAACAAAAAAACTCACTCCCAATAACTCTCTCAAGAAATTTCAATAATCCCTTGTCCTGCGCAAAAGCAGTCTCATAAGCCCCCCCAATAGCAGAGTACATTTCCTCGAAGTTTTGTACCGGAGACGAGGAGGAGCCGGGATCGGGTTTGGGCTTGAGGTTTGAAGACATGGTCACTAGAGCTCCTTGACTTTTGGTGATTTGAGGTGAGGTGTATTGTAGGCTTGATGAATGTGCTTGGTTTGATTTGACTTGACTTCGTTTGATTCCGATTGAGTTGTTTTAATTTGATTCCATCTAAGATCTTACAAGTTGGATTCAATGATTACAAACAAATAAGTCTAGTAATCCCACTTTCGAACCACGCCTCTTCTGGATCACCCTTTTGTGATAAAAATCATGATTTTCATCTATCTATAGTTTTATATAATTTAATAATAATCAATATAATTGAGTCAAGTTTTAAATAATCTTCTTTATTAATATGTTAGTTGGTTTTGAAATTTTAATTTTATATATAAATTAAAACAAATTAAAAAACTTTTTGTAAAATAATTATAATTATAATTAATTATTAAGTTTTATTTTATAAGAACTATTCAAAAAAATAAAATACAATTTTTTTTAAATAATTTTTATTTAATATTAATATTTTGTTTTATATAAAATTATGTTAAAAGGAATAGAAGTTACCGGTACTAATCACGTGTCGTGATTAGTAATACGGTTACCTAAACAGGCTAGATTAGATGAACCATAAGCAGGCATATTGGTCCCCTCCGAGGATACCAAGAGGAGATCTTAATATGCCTACACACGTAGTAATATAGCCAATATAGAGGCCTCTGTTACAACGGCTATCTTCTATGCCGCGTCACATGACTAAACCAAGGTAACGTGATTAAAGTCACGTTATGGACCGCTGAGGAACGCTGGCTGTCCAGGAACGCTGGCTGTCCAGGACCGCGCAGCGGTCCTGACTAGCCATAGGCATGAAGGTCTATATAATCAAGATGGATTTCCTTTGTATAGAGCTTCGTGCTCAAGATCAATCATTTAGTATACTCTACTATTAGTTACGAATTGCATTATTGTCATTACTTTAAGTCCCTGCTTGACGCCTAGTTATAAACCACCTCGAGAGCCTAGAGCACTTCCACGTGATCTAGACGGCAAACCTCGTAACAGCCTCTTCCACCCAATCTTTTAATAAATTATATATATAAATTCAAAAATTGTCACACTCAAGAATACTAGGTAAAGTATCTTGTATTAGAAAATACTAAGCTAAGGAGAAAAGAAGAAGGAAAACAAAAGTAGAGAGTTTGTGACGCCTCACACCTCCGGGTCACGTGGCATGCCCCGTTTGTATTTAATCATAGGAAAACTCGCTACTCTTGTTTTCCTTCTTCTTTTCTCCTTAGCTTAGTATTTTCTAATACAAGTGTGACGGAAATCCCTGCTTTCCTCCCACCTTTATTATATAAGAAACCTCAGGTACATTAACCATGTCCACACATGATACGATTACTCGAGATTAGTATGCGATTTAGGTGACCTGAGGATCAGATCCGGACAAGTACTAGGTATCAATGGTTATCGGTAAAGTAAGATCATTGGAGGAATAAATATGACTTCTTTTTGCCTAGCTATTGCGGCTAGGCTATTCATTTGTGTATGTATAGAGTAGCTATCCCCATCTACAGGTGCTCTTCACCTGTAGATTCTAAGTTAAATACAATTGCTGGTCTATAAACACCCTTTTGGTCACAACAAGATACTTTACCCAGTATTCTTGAGTGTGACAGAGTTTTCCTATGATTAAATACAAACGGGGCATGCCACGTGACCCGAAGGTGTGAGGCGTCACAAAAATTCTGTCACACTCAAGAATACTGGGTAAAGTATCTTGTATTAGAAAATACTAAGCTAAGGAGAAAAGAAGAAGGAAAACAAGAGTAGAGAGTTTTCCTATGATTAAATACAAACGGGGCATGCCACGTGACCCGGAGGTGTGAGGCGTCACAAATTCAATTAACAATATCTAAATCAATAAAATATAAAAAAATCTAAAATCTTCAAAATTTATATATATTTACAATAGAAATTTACAATTAAAATTTTATTTTATTTTATTTTATTTATTTATTATAAAAATTATTATCTTTTATTAAAAGATTGGGTGGAAGAGGCCTCTATATTGACTATATTACTACGTCTGTAGGCATATTAATCTCCTCTTGGTATCCTCAGAGGGGACCAATATGCCTGCTTATGGTTCGTCTAATCTAGCCTGTTTAGGTAACCGTATTACTAATCACGACACGTGATTAGTACCGGTAACTTTCTATTCCTTTTAACATCTTTTGATATAAAAAAAATAATCCAAAAAAAAAGAATTACCTAAAAATAAAATATTAGATTTATATAAACAAAAAAACAATCCTCACAGCGAAATGAATCACTACTCGAAAAATCAAATATATATTATGTATTACATACTCTAACGTTATACAACTCAGAAATCAATTACAATAACAATTACAATTGTAAGAAGTATCCGCAATCCGCAATTCGCAAGCTGCAGTCTGTACTCCGTAATACGCAATACGCAATATGCAGTATGCAATGTGTCACACCGAGACACCTGCAGCATGTACGTAACCTTCCCGAGGTCCTTCATGTGTCAGATGTCGTGACCCGGTCAATCAATCAATCAATCAATCAATCAAGTTCCTCCCCACATTTATTACTCTCCGCAGTTTCTTCCTAGAATTCAATCGAACCCTATCCAATCCAATCCGGTACCATACCATTCTTTCGCATCGTAGAGTTAGTACCGCCGTACTACTGGTAATACATATATATGTACACATATATATACAGGTACGTATACGTAGCTAAACTCATCAAATAACACCACAAAAGGAGAGACTCAATACCACATTAACATCCACATGCACATTAGCTCTAATCAGAAACTTGAAATAACATCTCAATTCGTATTTGATATTTTACGTACACAAACAAGAACCTCAAATTCACCCATGTCCTATATGTGTGATTCAAAAAGAAAAGACGCCTTTGATACATCCCCCAGTCCGTCCCATCCCAGTGATCATTCCGCCCGTTCTCTCATCGTATCCATTCTTTTTACTCCTACATTTCCCGTTACCGAACCTGTTACAAAAAAATTGTAAATGCAAAAGGAAATACCCGAAGCTTGAGAACAAAAATGTAGATGAAAACAGGCCGTTCCAATCATACCCAAAGCATGTCAGTCGTACCATAAAAAGATCTTATGCTGGAAAGTAGAAAAAATACAAGAAACGAAATCTGCCCAGGCTCTCAAACTCATTATCGACAACTGGACAAGTAGAGACTTATAAATCGGTTAAAACTCCAGGAAGCCTAACCCGGTGATTTTGTTTTGCAACCATTACCCACTTAAAAGGCATCTTCATCTGTCCAATTAGCTTCACTTCCAGATACAATCCGAGTGCACAATCGATCATTACTAAGGACTTGCCCAGCAGGTCCTTTATAAAGTGGATAACCTTTTTTCTTCATCATGCTGCTATTGACAGTAGCACTACCGCGGAATGGAGGAGGTTCATCTTCTGGAGTGTATCGATTCGCCCTGGCAGCTCGAAGTTTTGCGAAATAATCCTCATTTGAGTCTTCTTCTGGCTCAGTCTCAGAAACATCTCCATAAGTTTCCCAGTTCTCAGAGCCAGAGGCAGTGTTTGCAGAGCTAGATGTGGTAGAAAGTTGGCGACTGCTAGCAGGTGGTGCACTTCCATAAGTTAACGATTGACCGAAGTTTGACCGCATTGATGATCTCAAATCCTGATATGATTGAGGTCTTTCTTTAGCCTTTGGTGCTGTATGTTCAAATACATCTTCCGGAGAAATTGGTCTAACGCTACTGCTTGAAGAAGCAAAGCTCTCATTGCGGTGATAATATGTTTGGGTGGGAGGAGCTGATGGAGGTGGTTCAAATAGTTCACGCATCTTTGGAGGTGGAGCTCTTGATGGAGGTGGACCCATTTTACCACGAATTGTGCTAGTTGCTTGTCTTGATTCAGGTCGCATAGATTCAGTCCGTCGATGATTGCGTTCTGGAGAGTTGGGAAGGTTAAGATTTGACAAAGGCATACGATATGGGAGCCTAGAAGGTGATCTTGTACCACTTGCTGCAGATACTGAAGCGGAAGATTGATGTCTCTTCAATGTTCCTCCTGCAGTTGGCGTTCTAGCACCAGCTCTACTTGGAGGGCCAGGCCTTGGCGCGCTGTTAGAACGGCCTAGCGTTCCAGCCTTAGTAATGGTTTTCGGAGGTGGCTTCATGGAATTTGGAGGCGGTCCAGCTGGTGTCTTCGAGCGTGGTCCTGGAGCAGGTTTGACCTCGGAAGTTTCTAGTTCATCAAGGTATCTTTCACCATGGACCATAAAAGGACGTCCATATTCATCCTCCCAATCCTCCAGAACTTTTCTCAATTTTGCTGCAATCTTTGGTAAGTCTTTAGCAATTCTCTTCCTCATCTTTTCCTCTCTCAACAAGCGAGTTGGATCACGCTTTTCACCCTTTTGACCACGCATCATTAGACGACTAGCATCCTGTGACGATGCTTGAAGGTCATCTCTGTCTTTGACGAGTGATCGATGTTCCTCGATGAGAGCTAACGTAGGTGCACGTTGCTCTTTGAGAACTTCTAGACGTCCAATTTCCTGTTCATGGGCCTCCAAGAGAGCATCACTGTATACATCTGAGAACGCAGGGGTGAACTCGAGCATCTCTTCCTCGGAAAAGAATAGTCCATCCCATAGCTCTTGTAATTTGTATCGGGCATCCTCCACAAATAAATGTAGATTTTGTCTCTTGAGATCATTTAACCTTGACAATTCATCTTCGAACTCGTTAATTTGTCGCATGCCAAATCCCCGGTTGCCATTCAGAAATCGTTTCCTCTCGGGCTCTTCGACACCCAGCTTTACCCACAAGGCTTCCACAGTAATACGAAGATCTCGCAAACGCTTCTCACGACTCTTCTTCTCATCCACTAGCTTGCTTTGCTTCATGCGCAATCTGGAAATATCATCTTCGTGCAGACCAAGCTGCTCTGGCGCATCTCGATAGTATTTAACAATCGCGCTGTCGGTTTGAGCTTGTGGGGTGCCCAGTTCAGCCCATAGTTGAATAATGTTTTCGGCGGTAGTCTTCACTAATGCGACACGGCGGGTATATTCATCGTAGACACGGGTAAATTCATCATCGAGATCGGTGACGTAATTATTAGAAAGGTCGAACGTAGGAGGAACAATCGCGTTTGGAGATGTAGGTGGAAGTTCGATTTTAATGAAAGATGGCTCTAAATGCGATGAATATGACTCAAGAGCTTGGACAAGTTCTACATCATCTTAGCACAATCCATTGTTAGTCTTAAGAATGTAGAGGAGCTTACTCTTGACCTGTTCAAATCTCTCCTTATGTATCTTTGATATACGTAGATGTTTTTCTTTTAAAACTTGTAAACATTGCGTCAATGGATATGTAATTTTGAGATCATCATCTTCGGATTCGTATTCATGATGGTCTTTGTTATCATCAAGGGAAGTTTCCATCTGCTTAATGGTCGTAATAATTCGGCGTGCTTCTTCTGACAAATCATTCTTTTCGTTCGCGACTAATTGTACTTGGTTGTGTAAGGTCTCGGAGAGGGCAGCGAATAACTAGAAATGTTAGGTTTCACTACTTTCTTCCATCATAGCCAAGTAAACACTACATACCTCTGCCTCTCGAGACTCTCGCTCTCTCGATGGAACACCGATTTCGTCGAACAAGCCATGGAGTTCATCTATGATCGTCGAGACCTGCGACGTTAGGTAGCTAGTATCCATTGTGAATGCAAGGCCACTTCTGCTAAGGTTAACGGGCGGGGAGCAACTCGAATTAAAAGAGATGGCGGGTAGCCCCTAATTTGAAGAAAGGAGAAGGTTCGATGTGATGTAAAATGGATGACTGAGAATTGTGGACTGTGGAGAAGTTCTGTTTCGCAGGAGTGGAGGGAGGAATCGAAGGTGGAGAATCGGAATTTCGAAACAATTGAACAATGCTCAACTGCTCAATTGCTCAATGATCTCGATCCTGGACCACGACAATGAAACCAACCACGCACTCGATAATTCTTGAAATTCTAATCGCCAAATTAAAATGCGTGCTTGTGCGTGTACACTTTTTATGCTGTATGCATTGAATGAAAGTTGGGTGGGTTCTTTTGCTCCGTAGATCGATCTGAAGTGGTAGAACTTAGAAGAGAGAAAGTTTGGTTATGAAGGTCCACTTAGAATGAAAGATCGAGAAATGATTCGCATGGGAGAATTGAGATGGTTTTGAGGAACACTAACTGGATATTTACACATAAAGTTTGAGGCTGGATAATCGTTGCTAGAGGGACGTCCCGAGATATTGTTTCATTGGAAAATCCAAGAAATTGCCTAAATGGGCATTTCATTGGCCAGGATTAATTGGGATAATATTAGATAAGCAAGGATTTACTCCTAGCGTGAAAGTTAGTAGACCCCGCAAAGAAGCCGTGTTCAACTATGGTACAATCAAGGAAGCTTGACCAGGCCTTTTATTCTTAGAAGTCTTAGAAGCTTCACAAGGCTGTTATCCACTCGAACACCAATGACAGTCCCTCAGCCACCAATACACATCATACCAAGACAATAGCTTGGTTTCACACAGCTGCTGATAATTTTGGGATTTATCATAATCACACAAATCACACAAATCCAACAAAAGATTTGCTTCTGATTGTTGATTGAAACTTATCCATTGACCATGGATACTGCTTTCAAGACTTGGGGTAAGTAAAACTCCTGGAGCCCTCACCCCACCTCCCTGCTACTGCTCCCCCCCACTCCCCCTCCTCTCATCCCCCATAGTATCCCCGCTAATCAGCTTATCAAAAACAGAGCTTGACAACAACGTCCAGCTCGTGGATCCCAACCGCGACGCCCTCTACACCTACGACCCCAAAGAACAAAGAGCCATCCAAGATGCCAAACCATGGAAGACCGACCCTCACCACTTCAAAAATGTCCGGATATCCGCTGTCGCTCTTCTGAAAATGGTTATGCACGCCCGCTCTGGAGGTTCTATCGAAGTTATGGGCTTAATGCAGGGAAAGATTGCGGGCGATACTATCATCGTCACAGATGCATTCCGCCTGCCTGTCGAAGGGACGGAAACTAGGGTGAATGCTCAAGACGAAGCGAATACATATATGGTGGAGTACCTACAACACTGTAGAGATCAGGGCAAGTTGGAGAATGCTGTAGGCTGGTATCATAGTCACCCAGGCTATGGTTGTTGGTTGAGTGGCATTGATGTCGGGACGCAAGCGACGCAACAGATGTTTTCGGACCCTTTCCTTGCTGTGGTTATTGATCCTGATCGCACTATCTCTGCTGGGAAAGTCGAGATCGGGGCATTCAGAACCTATCCTGATAATTACAAGCCTGTGGATGCAGGGTCTGGAGATGGATATCAAACGATTCCACTTGCAAAGATTGAAGATTTTGGTGCACACAGCAGCCGATATTACTCTTTGGAGGTCTCACATTTCAAGAGTTCATTAGACACGCATCTTTTGGAGTTATTATGGAACAAATATTGGGTTCAGACATTGAGTCAAAGTCCTTTATTCACCAACCGCGAATACAGCAGCAAACAGATGCTCGACTTGAGCTCCAAGATTCGACAAGCTAGTTCTGGTATTATCCGTGGTGGGAGAACACCTGCTGGATCATCGTTAAGCAAAGGGATGGATCAACAACTAATGAAGGTAGTCAAGGATAGTAGCAAGATTGCCGGTGAAGAGATGACGGGTTTGAAGGCTGGCGAAGTCAAGGCACAGCTGTTCAATGGGTTAGGCGAGGCACCGAAGGCCACAGCTGCTCCACTTGCTCCGGCGGTGACGGCCGCAGAATGATGCTTTTTACAGACACGCAATATTTGGTAGCGAAAACTGCTAGGCGTATGGTTTAGTGATGGCGTTTGAGGTCTAAAATATAAGGAGCCCACAGTAGTTTAGAGTGGAGAGAAATGAAGTTATGATACAATTCATCAATATGATACATCTAGTTTTTTTCATCCCAGGAAATTTATCATCTCGTGACCATAACTATTCGAGTATCTGCAATCCGTTCATCGTTTCAACAGGCTACCAGAGATCATAGATTACCATGCATCAACCACATTCACTACTCCGCCGTCGGGGCTCCTGATGCTTCCGCAAGAGACCTGATATATTCATCCATAATCTCCTTCGCGACCCTCAACCTACGGAGCGACTCCTCCCTGCCCAAAATCTCCATAATATCGGACCCATCAGGTCCACTTTGCCCACCCGCAATTGCCCACCTAATATATGAATGGACGAGTTTTGTCCAACTCTTCCTGATTACCTTCTGTGCATCTTCACTATACACTTTAGTAGCGGTAAATTCTGCCGTGCTCATCATGGTTCCTTGGTCGATGATGAGATTTGTGAAACCTTTTAGTTCGGCTGCGTTCCAGTTTTCGGCGGCGATTGAGGAGAAGCCGTCGAAGGAGGTGGAGAAGTCGTCGGGGATAGGGTGGATTACTCCTTGCGGGGCGTCGTGGAGTTTGTGGGGTGGGGTTCTGGATTCGAGTTCCAAGGGTGTGGGGGCTGTGAAGAAGTATTTGTGGGTTGCGTAGAAGGTATCCGGGAGGTTGTAGTTTTGGATTCCCGCGCAAATTATGGAAAGGATGTAGTTCTCTTTTGCGGCATCGGTATTTTCACAGTTATAGAAGATTAGTTCTTCGTACTCTGGAAGACTTTTCATACGCTGGAGGACGGGCTTTGCAGCTAATTCTAAGAGATCTTGAGAAGGTGGAATAGGTTCATTTGATCGTCGTAATTCCTTATATCTTGCGGCGTGTTTTCTTTGCATGAAGTTGAGTTTTGCCATGGTTACGACAGAGTCACCTCGAGTGTATTTCATGCTCGCCTGTGACCAAATTAGTGCACTGTTCGTTACATATGAAGAAGATGAAAGACATACATTGTCAACAAGTTCCTGCATACTCATTATGTCGTATGATCGCTCATGAGACCATCCAAGAAGAGCAACAAAGTTGGTTACTGTCTCAGGAAAATACCCTGCGTCTCGATAGGTTGCTATATCTATGGCACCATCTCGTTTGCTGAGCTTCTTCCGATCTTTGTCTAGGAGAAGGCCAACATGTGCAAAGGTAGGCGGCTTCCATCCAAATGCTTGATACATAGCAACATGCATATGCGTTGAAGGGATCCATTCCTTGAGCTAGAATTAGCCAGCATCTACTTGGAAGATGGAAAGTACATACCGATCCTCGAACAACATGTGTAATCTTCATGAAATGATCATCCACAACGTTTGCCAGGTGATAGGTTGGAAATCCATCCGATTTTACCATTATAGGGTCCTGAAATTCCTTATATTCTGAGCGAGGGTCCCGAGTCAGCTTTGATCTGATCTGACCATACACCTGATCCTGAAAGCCTGGCCACTGCTGGGGAACCTTCATTCTGATCACGTGAGGCTTTCCTCTCGATGCCATCTCGTCAGATTGATCCTTCGGTATATGCCTGCAGGTACCATCGTAGGCTTGGGGAAGACCCTTTTTGCTCTGGTAAACCCGTAACTCATGTAATCTGTGGGAGGAGCAAAAACATCTGTAGCCTAAATCTGCTTCAACCAGTGTTTGAGCATGTTCCCAATACATTGCTTTTCGTTCCGACTGTCGAATACCAATCAATATAACAGTCGATGCTTTGATAAGAGAAGACATTGACATACTTGCTTGTATGGAGCAAACGGTCCACCGACCTTTGGTCCTGAAAGCTTTTAGCACACCCTGTTTAACTAATTTATTGTCAAGCTAATATACCTTCATCCCATTGAATACCAGCCCATTCCAGATCTCTGTACAAGCGCTCTTCAGCCCCGGGAATAGTTCTATCCTTCTTTATTTAGTATGATCCCATTGGCAAAAGACTCAATGTATTACCGTATCCGTATCTTCAATCCGTAAAAGAAACTGACCACCGGTAGCCTTTGCAAGCAAGAAATTGAAGAGCGCCGTTCTTAGGGATCCTAGATGCAAATTACCGGTTGGAGATGGCGCAAAACGGGTCCTGATAGGGCCAGCAGCACGAAGTTTGGTCGAGGCCACGGACAGAGGATACTCATTTGCTTCGGTAGAGGCATGTCTCCTACAAATGGAACAAACATTCTGTTTCCATATTCTCTGACTAGTATTTCTTGTCAGCGGTAGAGGGAAAAACCTCATATCCGGCTCAACTTCACTATGAAAACAGAGAGCAATCCTAGAAGTAGAGGGTAAGAGCCCAGTTCAATGTTTGATGCTGCACTGAAAAGGTTATTAGAGGTCAAAAAAGATCATGAACCACTTCCTTGAACGAAGTAGAAACCGAACACCAAATTTTCAAATGAGTCTGAAGCAGTAATGCTCGAAGTTAGCTCAAATTTCGATTTAGCGTTTTTATTTTCCCAAAATCGAGAGATATGATATATCGGAAGGTGGTGTCAATTATTCGAAAGTCTTATTTTGAAATGATCATGAATTAATTTGATATTGAATTCTTGTTGCAGGGTATGATTTTGGTCTCTTCTCAGCCACTCCACTCTCAGCCACTGTCCCGCGCCGAGGCTCCGGTAGGTTAGGTTAGCTCGAAGCTTCTTGCTGTTGGAAAAGCGCCAAGGTAAAAATAATAGAAAAGCTTCATAATCTTTTCAGCCTTACCACTTACATTCATTTTTGATACAAATTTCGTTTTGCGAATTTGCACATAGTATCTGTATCAGCTTTAGTATTACACTTTTCTTAGTCGTAATTCGATATCATAGATCTTCAAATCGCATTTTTGAAACTCCCACAACTCGCTGGACAATCAAAGCTCCCCGCCATCAATTCTCGAGAAACTTCAACATGACCACCAACGGCGCATCGGACGAGATGAATCTCTATGGTGAGTTTTCTCAGTGAAGCTTCAACAGGCAAGTATTAAAATACGTGAAATAGGTATATTGGGCATAAGTAAGGATGCCACAAAATCCGAGATCAAAAAAGCCTACCATAAGGTATGCCCCCGCACTTAGCTTCACTGAGATTTCCTATTGACTTTTTCAGGCAGCATTACAACATCATCCCGACAAGGTAGCAGAGGATCAGAGGGAAGAAGCAGATGAGAAGTTCAAGACAGTGAGCCAGGCATATGAAATTCTTTACGACGAAGAGAAGAGGGAAATGTATGATACTCATGGTATGGCTGCATTTGATGGAAGTCGACCTGGAATGGGAGCAGGTGGAGTTGACTTGGATGATATTCTGTCGCAGATGTTCGGTATGGGTGGGGGTATGGGAGGTATGGGAGGTATGCCACCTGGATTTGGAGGCCCAGGAGGACCTGGAGGGCCAAGAAAACCACGGAGAGGAGCAGACGAAGAGCAGCCATACAAAATTTCACTCGAGGACTTGTACAAGGGAAAAACGGTCAAGTTCACGAGCAAGAAGAACGTAATCTGTAGCCATTGCAAGGGTACTGGAGGAAAGGAGAAGGCCAAGCCAGAAACTTGTAGCAGATGTAAAGGTAATGGTGTCACCATGGGCCTTAGGAGCGTTGGACCCGGGACTTGTCACCCAAGAAAAGAGTTATGTGCGATACCTGTTCAGGAGCTGGTAAAATCTTTAAGGAGAAGGACAAGTGCAAGAAATGCAAAGGAAAACGCACAACCAAGGAACAGAAATCATTGGAGTTGTATATACCTCGGGGTGCAAGAGACGGCGACAGAATTGTTTTGGAGGGTGAAGCTGATCAGGTACCCGATCAAACGCCCGGCAACATAGTATTTACTATCGATGAAGAAGATCACGAAATTTTCCAGCGGGCTGGCGATGATCTTTCTGCGGAGCTCAACATCACACTAGCTGAAGCTCTCACAGGATTCTCACGAGTAGTTTTGAAACATTTAGACGGGCGTGGTATTTCAATAAATCATCCCCAGGGAAAGGTGTTGCAGCCGGGACAAATTTTAAAGGTTGAGGGCGAAGGTATGCCTCTGAAGAAGAGCGATGCCAAGGGTGATTTGTACTTGATTGTAAAAATCGAGTTTCCTCAGGACGGATGGACAGAAGACACAGCTGCATTCTCTACTCTGCAGCAGGTCCTACCCAAACCTGGGCCACCGATCACCACCGAGGAAGTTGATGAGGTGGAATATGACTCTGATGCTGATATTGACGATGTAAGTATTGTTAATCCACTCCTACCTGCTTCACAACTAACTCATAAATCAGTTTGGTGCGAATTCCGGGGATCCTCGTGCCGGCGGTGAGTGGGAGGACGACGAAGAGGATGATGAAGGAGGTGCTCAATGTGCTACCCAATAAACTTTTGGACATAAACTAGTAATTTGCGCGTCATGGGGTTCAACTCGCCACTGGGTGGCATATTGGTTGGATCACCTGGAATATAGAGCGGTAAAAACGGGACTACGATATAGAACCACAGCGGAAGCAAAATTCATGGAAGATATGGCGTTCCGGGGTTTGTTTCACCAAGCATCGTAATAAACTCCAAAAAATCAAGCTCTATTTGTCCACATTCTTACTGAAACTTACATTCCATTGTAATATTCAAACTGGCATACTGCTTCCGATCTTGTTTCCATTTTGGAGCATGTGTCCATTTTCGTTATTTGTTGATGGAAGGTAACACTTTCGACGTCCAAACCCAACTTAAATTTTCGGAGACTCTAGGAGATGAATAACCTAATTTCGAACACAAAGCCTCTTTCTTCAACGGTCTAGAATCTTGTACGCTCTCCGCGCTGTTGTCATTCCACACACGTGATGTGCACGCAAGCCCTAACACTTTGGTGCCTCAGGTCTTAATATTCGCTTAAGATTCTGTGGGCTTAAACTATGAGACTACCAAAAAAGATTTCGCAGGAAATCGTATCAACCAACGACAAACAATCGACAACCCGACGACAAGGTGTGTATTACTATTACCATGTCTCCTGGAGAGACGCAATTGTTTCAATATCGGTTATGCTGACGGTCCTCTAGATGGTTTCCGCTAAGAAGCACGTTCCTATCGTCAAGAAGCGTATGTTTACTTCCATCTTCCATCCTCGATCTTCGATATACGATTTGCATAGCCTGGGACCGATGAAGAGTCGCGACCGCCATTGGAGAGTCTGCGAATGGAACGGGTTGGATTCGACTTCGAAGAATGGTTGATTGATAATTTTGTTATAGGCACCAAGCGTTTCAACAGACATCAGAGCGACTCCTACAAATGTGTCGACGCAAGCTGGAGAAAGCCCAAGGGTATTGATAACCGTGTCCGAAGACGGTTCAAGGGACAAATGGTTATGCCATCGGTACGTGCAACTGGAAGCGGCTGTAGTTAAAATGATACTCAGAGAACAAGATGGATTGGGATCCGAGAACGTTTCAATGCACAGCAGGAATCAATCGAGCAGCGACTGACAAGGATATAGATTGGTTTCGGATCCAACAAGAAGACCCGCCACATGATGCCATCCGGCCACAAGGCCTTCCTCGTCAACAACACCTCCGACGTTGACCTCCTCCTCATGCACAACAAGACCTTCGCCGCAGAGTAGGTTTAACAGATTCGGGAGCAAATAGATGTGGTCACTAACAAATTCTTAGGATCTCCCACGCCGTTTCATCGAGAAAGAGAGTTGAGATTGTTGCACGCGCCAAGGCACTTGGTGTTAAGGTTACCAACGCAAAGGCAAGAGTTACGACTGAGGTTTAAGCGGATGGGTTTTGTTTGGGCATTTTGCACGGGATGGGAATGCTTGTTAGCACAAACAAAGGCTTTGCAGAATTATAGCAAAAGCTCTTTGAAAAAATGAAGATCCTTAAGCAAATATTTGACAGTCACACGAAGCTCCATCTGTGATGATTGTTTTCCCGCTCGGATTTCCTAGACGCTCCCCTGATATCCACGACATATCGGTCTCTCTGTTCAAAAGGATCCGAATACGTGCAGGTTTGGAAAAAATTTCATGGCGTTATGGGTGGTTTATCTCCCAAAAGGTTGCGATGGAGAGTTTCAATTCGATTTGTTCAATATACCTGTGCCATTGGGCTGAACCAATTGCTCACACGCTGAGAGGGCATTCTAAGCGCGAATCTATAAGGGATACTAGCTCTTTCCCGTTCAAAATCCTACACGCATTCCAATCTGTCTGAATGCCCGATATTGTGCTGCATGTTATGCTCTCTAATCTTGTTGTCCGTCTTCCGGTTCTAGTCATCGTGTATTTGTATCCTATCAAGGCTCAAAATCTCGATTGGCTCGCCCATTTATGAAATATCTGGTAGGTTAAGCTGTACTAGCGCTGCGCTTCACTTTCTGCATTATGTGTTTTTGTATGATTCACGTGAGTCGTTGCAGTATACATGGACCAACCATGAAATCATTAGGTCTTTCCAATCCAGTACTAATGAATAATCAATGCGAGACGTATACCGCAAAGATTCCTGTGCAAAATATGCCTTTTGAAAATCTGGAAACTCGTCGCTGATATGTCAGGATACTCGTAGCACCACTCTTCGAAATAAGCTCGCTCCATGCCATTTTGATTCTTGTTGTATTCCACGGCTCAACTATACCTATCTATCACTGCAAGTAAGTTCCTACCGCTGTGGGAAAAAATAATAGTTCGCTGCAGGAGCGAAGCGACACGCAGCGTTCGAGCGAGGGGTCTAGCTACATAATGGCTGTTGCTTCATTTTTGTTACGTCGGACAGTAACATAGGTCACGTTCTTGATCACATGATCAAGAAACCGACAAATCGAGATCGGCTTTGCGGTGATCGATTTGTCGGGCTCATAGCCATCGGTTTTTTTTAAAGAGGCACGAAGGTCTATATAATCAAGATGGATTTCCTTTGTATAGAGCTTCGTGCTCAAGATCAATCATTTAGTATACTCTACTATTAGTTACGAATTGCATATCATTATTTGTCATTACTTAAGTCCCTGCTCGACGCCTAGTTATAAACCACCTCGAGAGCCTAGAGCACTTCCACGTGATCTAGACGGCAAACCTCGTGACATTTATATATAAATTTAAGATCGTTTTGAAATATATAATTTTACTAATAAAATTGTAACGATACTGTACTGGGGGAAGCGGCTGCCTAAGGTTTCGTCTGGTTGGTAGTTATGGGTTAAGGCTTTATCACTGGTATTTACTTGGAAGTGAAGTCGTTACTAGATCAAGTAGAATTGTCACGAATCACGGTTATTATAATACAATAAAAGCAAGTACGTCCCTTTCACTCTGCCTCTGTTCCGAGGGGGTCCTTATCGATAAGAAATCCTAGGACAAGTGTCCTAGGATAAAATATGTCCCAGGATAATTAGTATCCTAGGACAAAACGATTAGGCAACCATGTAGGCTTAGGACAAGTATCCTAGGACGTTATTCGTCCTAGGATAGAATGTCCTAGGATAATATTTGTCCCAGGACAATTATCCTAGGAGCTATATTATCCTAGGATCAGAATCGTCCCAGGATTAGTGTCCTGAGGCCTTTGAAGGATCACGTGATGGATAGACTGGATAGCCTAGTCTATCCAGTCTAAGGGATAGCCCAGGTAGACCAGTCTATCCAGGCTATCCAATAACATTCAGGAATATATAGTTAAGATAGTTTCATAATCTAAGAGCTTCGTGCTCAACTTAGTTATCAATTAGTTTACCTACATTCTACTTGATCTAGTAACGACTTCACTTCCAAGTGAAGACCAGTGATAAAGCCTTAACCCACAACTACCAACCAGACGAAACCTTAGGCAGCCGCTGCCTCCAGTACAGTATCGTTACAAGAATATAGGTAAACTAATTGATAACTAAGTTGAGTACGAAGCTTCTAAACTATGAAACTATTCTGACTATATAATGAACGATAAAGGGAGCCTCCAGGAGCTTTCTAGCTCCTAGGGCTCTTTATCACGTGATTCCTTTTTATCCCAGGACACTAATCCTAATGGTGAATCGTGACAAAAATAAAACAAAAATTAACAAAGTTTTTTGATAATATCTTTTAAAGAATCCAAATGACTATATGTAAGTTTTTTGAATTATTTAACATTTTTAATATTTATTTTTTAATAATTAAATTGTTCATATATTTACAATTTCTGTGACGCCTCACACCTCCGGGTCACGTGGCATGCCCCGTTTGTATTTAATCATAGGAAAACTCTCTACTCTTGTTTTCCTTCTTCTTTTCTCCTTAGCTTAGTATTTTCTAATACAAGATACTTTACCCAGTATTCTTGAGTGTGACAATTTCATGTTACGAGGTTTGCCCGTCTAGATCACGTGGAAGTGCTCTAGGCTCTCGAAGTAGGTTTATAACTAGGCGTCAAGCAGGGACTTAAAGTAATGACAATAATGATATGCAATTCGTAACTAATAGTAGAGTATACTAAATGATTGATCTTGAGCACGAAGCTCTATACAAAGGGAATCCATCTTGGTTATATAGATATTCATGCTCCCTTGGATCCTTTTGGATCCTCAAGCTCCAAAAGCTCCAAGTCACGTGCTTTCTGACAGTGCGTGCACATACGATCTTAAGGTGGCCCAGATCACATATTAATTCGATGAAATCTGATCGCTTTTGCACAAGGCCCAAGCTCTCCTAATTAGTCAATTGTTACTATCGTAACATTTCAATCAAGTATAATCATTTAATATAAGAAATTTTGTGTTTGAAAATATGATAAAATGTTCATTTTAAATATATTTTTCATGAACGGTCATTATCAGTGCACGGTTACAGTAGTGGTGAAAATATGAAGGTAGGTGGGTAGGTAGGATGGCTTTTTCTCTAAGATTTGGGTGTAGAATCCATTAGTGCAAATTTTGACATTTACTGTTCCGATGCTTCTCTGGGTTAGTGGAATTTAGACGATTTATTCAGATAGATCTTTGCTAGATTCATCCTAGGGGGGAATCAATCTGGATTTTGTTTCCGCTGGCACCTGTGTCTTGAAACTTTCTTCAATATACTCACTACCTGGTACCTGAAGAATATTCTTAACATGATATGTCGACTTTTTTAAAACTATGCATTATTAAAATTATAGATAGATACCTATTCGTAGCTCCTTCCTAAACTTCACTATGAAGACTTGTGTCGGCATACCAATCTTTCATTTCAGTTTATCTTTTGATCTTTTAGATCTGAAGTCATTCTGTATATTACGTTTGAGAACATCGTATTAGGGAAAAATGATGTCTTAATACACTTCAAAAGAAATGGAAATAAGTACCGACTCCACGACTAGCTACCGTTGTTAGGCTCAATAATATGGCAGGTGCGATTGTAGTGGGCCTATATATAGTTTCACTCGTAATGATAAATCAACCGCACCTACAATATAGGATCATTCATCGTTCGAGGCTTCCTAAGTATGTGTTTTTCCTGTCGAAAAAAAGGACTCCTCCTAATCAAGATGTCATGGCCAAAGAAACAGGGAAAATACCGTCCTATCATCACCAAGTTTCTCCTTATATCAACTCCCTGCAATAAAATCATAGTATCACACTAATACCAGATTTCCCCAACATGCAGATCAACTCAACCCCGCAATACCAAACGAAGAAAGCTCATGAAACTAACCAGAAATGGTGCAATAACCATAAGATCGAAAAAGCGGAAAGGTGTGTGCGTACTAAAGAACTAGAGAACAAAGCTAAGTTCTTTCAATGACAGTGACTTGATCTAGTATTTAGAGACAGTTTATTCTGAACCATGATTAATACAAAAGGTTAGAAAGGTATCCAGGATCCATAAATGACAGCGAATATTCCCATGCAGAGCCCATAAGAGATCTCCAAATGTCATTTAAGACAAAAATTCGGGTTACGAAAAGACGAGTCGAACATTTCAGAGAGAGGACTAAATCAAAATCTAACCCATCTTAGGCTTTGGCAGCTGATGGCGCAAATCCATAAATCGATTTCTCCCGATGATTTTCGGATTTTTATGCCTAGGCTCCATGTAATCGCTTGTTAGAAGGGGGTTTTTGAGACCACCTATGAGTCTTTCAACCGTTTTCTTTTGCCCACGAATCACTAAGAACACTAGTAACCCCCAGATCAACCGTAATTTGACTAAGAACACAACAACTAAATGAGGGATCAGCACCACTGACTAGCTAAAATGTAAAATGATAGCATATTCCAAAAAAAGGCTGCTTTTCCTCTACTCTGCAATTATGCTCACAGGTTCAGTACCATAACACATCCTTTTTCAATGTCTCAATCGTATATTGATACTTCTTTTGCCATGAATATCTATTTTTTCAAACCATCTATACCCAAAAAGAATCAAGCACACATATATACCACGAGTGAACTTGATAGTTCGTCAAGATGTCTCAACATTTCCCCCAAGCAGCCCGAGCATTGATCCATCCCAGCGAATGGAAGAAGATATTCACCGAACGCAAAACCTGGAAAAAATGCCACACCTTTCGTGAAAGAAAGAAGTCCGCCAAAGAGAAAACGTTTGTTGAAGAATCCAGATACCAAACGACGCCCGTACCTGGCATGTATAGAATCGACGAGAATGGAACAACATTCCTCGTTGCTATTCAACTAATCCAAGGCCGGAGAGACAGCGAGGCCATTTTTCAAGTTGCTCCTATCAGCGATTGTCCCGATCCCTCTTTAGCCCAAGTACCTTCCACGACTAAGGACGACAGTCAAAGCTCTGACGCTGAAAGATTTCTTGGCTATAGATACCTTCGCGATCCAGCCAAAGTTGAATACTGTCAGATATTGGATCGATATATGTTCAGCGACGAGCTAAAAAAGCGACATGTCACCTACGAGCACAAACACGGCGTTTCTCACTTGTTCCGCTTGGACAATCCAGCCATTTATATTATGATTGGTGGTGGAAGAAGGAGAAAGAATGGAGAAGCATTCAAGATGGGCAAGCTACCCAAACATCATAAGGGTATCAATGATAACTTGTGGTGCCGCGACTCGGGTAAAGGCCCCTTCAAAATGATGGGGGTTGCAGAGGCGCAAAAAGCCAGGGAAGAAATGGCGGAGAAGGGATGTGATGCATGGTGTGAGACGGGGGATGAACCTTATCTGAAGGTTCAGCGATATGTGCAAAGTACTATTTCTTTTACTTCACCCTTTACAGGTTGATTTGACCTACATGTACATGTAAAGAGATGGTTCGTCAGTGGTGTTTGGGCGTTTCAGGGGATGAAAGCGAAGATATCCTTTATGTCCAGTTGGCATAAAGTAACAGTATTGTATGCAGCGACTGCACTTGCAGATAGATCAATTTGAGATCAATTTAACAGCACTAATGATATCTCCGGAGACAACGAAGTTGAGATGAGACGTTCGCAGGCTACTGGCCATTCATCCCCAGCCGCCATCATAGCTGCCAAGTCTTACCTGAAGTTTGAGGACGGCTTTATTCTCAAGCAAACATCATACAAGCCGATACCTTCGGATGAGCTAATAACTATGAGCCAAGCGTGAACAAATTGAAGAAAATAGGATTCACAATCAAATATAATCGACTCAGAACGTCCCAATAAAGTTCCAATGTCAAATATACGCGTCCCCACAAAAGCATCTATTTGACCAACAGGAAAATTACGCATTGATGTTTGGTATCAGACTGTAGTAAAGTAATGTTGATTCTAAGAATCCTCCAAGGGTTTCTTTTCATTGTTCTTACTTCATCTCTTACCAAAGACAGAGCTAGGGTGTCATCCATTCTATCTTTATCCTGTCAGCACATCAGAACAATAGCATTGCTGAATTCGAAGCCTGATCCCGAAGCATGAAGATGTACCTATTATTAGGGGTTTCTACACCGTTCTGCCGACATGAAACAGGGATGAAGAATGCCGTTAACATGGTTACCATGAGGATCTTCATCGCGCCTACTGCGCAGTCTGCGCCTTGCTCAAATTAAACTCCTGCAGTACTGGGTTTAAACCTTCATGATGCAAAATTTGTCAATATCTGTTAACCCCTCCTCAAATTGAAAGGAAGTCCAGTACTCTCGTCGCACCAATTGAGAGAAAAGCATTCACAAAAACAAAGTGTAGGAGTACGTGTAAAAGTCACACAGCTCCAGCCTTGTCTTGGAATATAAGCAGTACCTACTGGATCACTGCAGTTACTACTATATTGTCTCATGACCAAACACAACACACGGCGAGCTCATGTCGGCAACAATAACACTCACGATGTCGCAGACGTCAGGGGTTCAAGCTGCGTGTCCGAATTGTGGAATGGCGTTACCGCATAACAATTCAGAGATTGCAATAGATGCGCAGAAACAAATCGAGGAATTACAAGCTCAAGTAAAGTTACTGACAGAGAAAGCAACCGCCGCAGGTAAGCTCCCCCTTATGATTCTTTAACCTCCAGGACTTACGATAATGCCAGTGGATAAATGGGCAGACTACGAAGACGAAATTCAATCGCTCAAGAAAGCACAATCTCAGCAAATTCCAGAACCTCCGCGCGCAACAACACCAACACAAGGGCTCACTGAAGATCGAGCCGGAAGCCCAAGTCGTTTCTCATATCTACCTGTTCAAAATCGACTTTCTTCTTTGCTGTCTCGCAAGTCCACACCGAATCTGCAAGCTCAGCCTCCGCCAACACCGAAAACACCTTCTACGACGGAGTTAGTAGCGGCTTTAACAAGAGAGCAAGGCTTACGACAGGCAGCGGAGGGCAAATTGAATGCATCCAGTGTCGAATTAGAAGAGTTGACCGCACAACTGTTCACACAAGCCAATGAAATGGTTGCCACGGAGCGAAAAGCGAGAGCAAAACTCGAAGAGCGAGTTGAAGTATTGGAAAGAAGGGATGTGGAAAAGGGAAAACGGCTCGAAAGGCTTGAAGGCGCGGTGCAAAGAATTGAAAGAGTCAGGGGGCTTTTGGCGCCGGAACGATGAGAAGAGCGAACACGACGATACGACTAAACGCATGAAAACAAGACGACTGGGGGTGCGGACCATTGAAAAGGGGCTACGGGGGTATGTGCAAATACGGCAGAAGGTCGCAGTTTTGTGTCATACGGAATCATTGGAAAAGAGAGCGCGATTTACTACCCACGAGATATCTCCAACAACATTAATAACACGGAATCCAACCCCTCGTCGGTGTCATTCTAAACCTACGAAATTCCATACCGTCTCTCGACCACATCATCAATATCATTCACGCCCCAGATTCCGCGATGTGTATAGACCAACCTGCATACCGGCGGCCTCGGAAGTGGAAATCTGGATGGTAGAGCTGTGGAAAGACTTCCTCCTCGAACCTACGCCTTACCTAGTCATATCCGCTACTTTCTACTTGGGTCTTTTTTTGATATCATTACAGTATTATCCGACCATTTGGAATATTGCTTACTTTCTCATCCAATTTATACCTTGGGATGACGATTTTGGAGCCCCTGGTCATTTATTTTGAGTATACCTTTTAATGCATTTGTTTGGAGCTTGTTAGATATGATACCCCAACTTGTATATATATTTTCGAGACTTATTAATACCTGCCAGGTGGAGGTAGATTAGTATCCACCATTAATATCAACAACCTTTAATAATAATCACATAATGTTTAGCAAGTATCAATAATAGAAAATCGAGCTGGTGGTATCTATTCACTATAAAAACTCATCGCTATACAACGCCAGCGATCGTTGAACAAGTAACCAACTCACTCGTTTCTAAACTCTTACTTTCCGATAGTTAAAAACAACCTATCACCCACATCCCCCAATCCTGGCTTAATCATCCCCTTGTCATTAACTTCCTCATCCACTCCCGCACACCAAATCTCTGTTCCCTCAGGCCACTCATTGGCCGCATGTTGCAAGCCCGGCAAAGCAGCTAACACACTCATCACAATAATTCTCTTGACACCCCATTCCCTCAGTGTGCGAATAGCAGCAGCGCAAGTACCTCCCGTAGCAATAACCGGATCGAGCAAAATAGCAAGCTCGGAAGCGGAGGAATTTGGAGTGTTGGAGGGAGAAGAAGCAGGAGGTGCGTGGTAGGGAAGATTGTTGTAGTATTCAACGGGTTCGAGAGTTGTGGGTTCGCGGAAGAGTCCGAGGTGGTGAACTGGGGTAGGGGTTGGGAGGAGTGTTTGGAGGGCTTCGACCATGGAGAGACCGGAGCGGAGAATGGGGATTAGGGAGATGGAGGAGGGGGTTATGGTTGTGGTTGTGTATTCGTATCCGAGGGGTGTTTTGGCCTGTTGGGTATTTGGTTAGTTGAGTTATGGGTGGGGGGTGAAGATGGTGAGGGGTAAAGGGAGAGAGGGATGGTTGGACATACAGTTGGACCTTTGGAAACGGTAAGTCCAGCAGCTGTAGCTTCACATCCTATTATCAATGAAATCTCATTGACGAGAGCTTTGGTTTCGCGAGTATTGGCTTCGCTGGATCGTAATTGTGAGAGCTTGGCTTGGAGACATGGGTGAGTGGAGATGTGAACGTTGGGTGGGAGTGATTGGTTCATCTTGAAGCTCTGCGCAATTATTGTTTTGAGATGTAGTGAGGATGGAAGATACTTCTGATATTGAGCAAATAAATAAAGTCGTAAATTGAAATGAGACGTATATTTCTTTGTTTATGTAAGAGTGGATGTTGATGTAGATAATACCTAAATTACTTGAGGTTTCGCATGCGTGTTATTCACAGATGGAAGTCAAGCCCACTAACCCACATCTTATCACCGGACCCCGGGCCTTATCAATCGCAAACGGGCGCTCCCCGAATTGATTTTCCGAAAATCTTAACTTTAAAAAGACGGCAACTATTTATGGAGTGAGCTAGAGAACATGAAGCCCGTGATCCATGTTACTTTTACTATGTGATGTGATGTCAAAGATTGCTGTTTCCATGGGAGTTAGATAATATCGGCAGCGGGGTCATAATAGCAATGGCGACGTCGAATGATGTCGCCAATGGCACCAAACATGAGCCCTACGACATTAAGATGACCCCAGACCACCCGAAGTCTCTAGAAGACCCATCTCAAGGTCGACGCGCACTAGAAGTACAAGATGCGGGATATGATATGCCAGAGAGTGGTTTGCGACTTGACGAGGTTGATATGTCAGCACCGGCACAGATCAAGGGTGAAAATCGATTGCGACAAAGCCAATTTCTAGGACATACGAGTAGCGGAGAGCAAGGGGCACACCGCCGTGGAAGTCGAGCTTCTCGCTCAGATATAGAATACGATCTACCAGACGATTATGTCCATCTCAATGAACTTGTAATACCATCACCAGTGGAAAATCCCCGCGGGGCTCCAATATATCTACATAAACCTTTAGAGGAGGCGAAAGACGAAGAGCAAGAATACAAACAGGATCAAAGGGATCAAGAGCGCAAGAAACGAGACAGCATTGCTAGAGGTGAGAAGCCACCAGAAGAAGAGAAGAAAGATGTCAGCACCAAAAAGGCCTCGAAATTTGCAACGCAATTATATACTATATCATATCTAATTTTGTTTTCAATATTTGGAACACTTGCTAGATTAGGTCTCCAATCCATCACATTCTACCCCGGAGCACCTGTCATCTTCAGCGAGCTATGGGCAAATGTTGGAGGATGTGTATTTATGGGTTTCCTCGGTGAGGATAGGATGTTGTTTAAAGAAGAATGGGGCACAGCTACCTATCACCACAAAATCCAAGAATGGAAAGCTAAAGTCAAAGATGAAGAAAACGGCTCTGGTTCATCAGCTGTGGGACAATTACCCGACCTACAAGCCGCAAAGAAAGCACATGCTGCCACTAAAAAAACCATTCCTTTGTATATAGGTCTGGCAACAGGGTTTTGTGGTAGTTTTACATCCTTTTCGTCATTTGTTCGAGATACGTTTTTAGCACTTTCGAATAGTTTGCCCAGTCCCCTGAATCATCCGCAGGATTATAGTCCGGTTATGGCAGGCACAACTAGCACTGTGAGTCGAAATGGTGGATATTCGTTTATGGCTACATTGGCTGTTATTATTACGACGGTGTCACTGTGTTTGGCCGCTCTATTTTTTGGTGCTCATCTTGCTATATTTTTGGAGCCATATATACCCAGCTTTTCGTTTCGTAAGTCCCGCAAGTATCTGGATCCTTTTACGGTGTTTTTGGCATGGGGTTGTTGGCTTGGTGCTGTTTTTCTAGCTATCTTCCCACCAGATAGAAATGATGCGCCGCCCGAGATATGGAGAGGTCGCGCCGTATTTGCCCTCGTATTCGCACCCATCGGCTGTCTAGGCCGTTTCTACGCTTCCCTCTACTTAAATGGCAAACTATCATCATTTCCAGTCGGCACTTTTGCAGTCAATATGTTTGGGACGGCAATCATGGGTATGGCGTATGATTTACAACATGTACCATTAGGAGGAGTAGTAGGATGTCAGGTGCTACAAGGAATTGAAGATGGATTTTGTGGATGTTTGACGACGGTTAGTACGTGGGTGGTGGAGTTGAGCTCGTTAAGGAGGAGTCATGCTTATAGATATGGTATGGTGAGTGTGCTTGGGGGTTTGGCTTTAATGGTGGTTATCATGGGGAGTTTTAGATGGACGCATGGGTTTGAGGGGCTGCTTTGTACGCATTAGGGTGCGTAGTTCGATCATGTAGAGGTGCTAATTATATAATGCTTGGAGTTGTGCTAATATACATATATAAACGCTAGCACGTGTATGGAATTTGATCCTGGCGAGAATCAGTTTACATGGAATTGTACTTAATATCCATAGTCTACTCCACTGTTCTTTGAATATGGCTATGAAGACGTATGCAAATGGGGACGCGCGGGATTGGTCGCGTTAAAGGATGTCCTGAAGGTATGATATAATTTGAATGATGGAAACGATACCTAGATGTTAGGTTGAGACACGGCTGCTAGAGCACTTAATTTTACTAGCTATATATGGACGATGTACTTGTGGCTAGTAGATATTGATTTCCTTTCGGGGTTAGAAATATGCATATGCAAGCTACCATTTTAGAACTAGGTCATCGGTTAGGTGTTACCCGACATCTTGGAAGCAAGGTTCAAAGAAGCATGTGTAGCATTATTTAAGACGGAAGCTTTGCTAACTTTGATACATTTTTGATTCTTCACTAAATCTGAGCAAAACGATTTTATCTTCATTGTTGATAATTGATATCTGGGATCTATTCATCTCTCTCGGATGCTCCCCAACAGATTACGATATCAAGATAATACCAACAAGATATCAATCATGGACAATCTAACCACCAAATGCCTTATGATTATTCTAGCTCTTTGCATACTAACCTACATCCTCCTCACCCTCTTATCCATCACAAATTCCGATCCCCGGGAACCTCCCACAGCCCCAACACGCATCCCATACATAGGACACGTCCTCGGACTAGGGCGACGAAAATTCAACTACTATGTTGATCTCAGCCAGAAAACACTCCTCCCCATCCTCACAATGCGCCTTCCTGGCGCGAAAATGTATATTGTGAATACACCCGAGCTAATCCAGGTAATCCAAAAATCACCCAAGAAACTTGCATTTCCGCCCATTACAGCGAAATTCGCAAATCAGCTCTGTGGAGTTAGTAAGCGGGCGAGGGATATTTTGGCTGTGAATGTTAATGGGGATGATGGGGATTGGGGGTTAAATATGGAATCGACACCGCTTATGAAGGGGGCGCTGCAGCCGGGACCAGGGTTGGATGGTATGAATAGGGTTATGGTTGGGAATGTTGCTGGGAGCTTGGATGGGTTGATTAGAGAGGGGGAGGAGAGTGTGCAGATTGGACTTCATGGATGGTTAAGGGGTTTGGTTACTATGGCGACGACGGAGGCGGTTTATGGGCCTAGAAATCCTTATAGGGATTTAAAGGTTCGGGATAGCTTCTGGTATTTGTTTTTCATGTGATTTACGTAGGAAGATGATTACTAATTCTTGCATTAGGGAGTTTGAGAGCCAGATGATGAGACTGCTTATTGGTATTCTTCCCTCTGTTTTTGCTCGCAAAGGTATCGCAGCACGGGAGAGGGTGAACAAAGCCTTTGAAGCATATTTCGCAGCCAACGATTTCAAGGATGCTTCTGCTCTAGCCCAACTCCGCCTGGAGCTCGATATCAAACATGGTGTTCCATTTGAGGATATCGCTAGATATGAGACTGTTCACGGCGTTGCCATAATCGTCAACACGGCACCCGCTGTATTCTGGTTAATCTTCTTCATATTTTCGGATCCCAAGCTGCTGGAAGAAATCCGCGCCGAGATCGACGCGATTCTGGAATCGAGTTTCAACCCAGACGGGTCTTTGGTACGTACCCTCGATATCACGAATGTGAAAACAAAGTGTCCCCTTCTATTATCAGCTTTTCAAGAAACCCTCCGTCATCGATCCGCCGGTACTTCTGTACGAGAAGTCATGGAAGATACCATATTAGATGATCAATGGTTACTGAAAGAAAACTCTCTCATCCAAATGCCCAGTCGCGTTATACACATGGATGCGAAGATCTGGGGCGCAGACGTGAAAGAATTCAACCCGCGACGATTTCTGAAAGATAAAGATATTCGACGTCCTAACCCCGCTGCCTTTCGTGCGTTTGGTGGTGGAACCACTTTATGTCCCGGTCGCCACTTTGCCACTAATGAAATATTGGCCGTCGTTTCTATGTTTGTTATGCGTTTTGATGTGGAGCCTGTAGGAGGCGTGTGGAAATTACCTACGTCTGAGAATACGAATGTGACGACTGTGATTTTGGAACCGGATACGGATGTTGACGTAGTAGTTTCTGTAAGGAAAGGACTTGGTGATGGCAAGTGGATGTTTAAATTGTCGGATTCGTTGACGGTTGCTGCGGTGGTTGCTGAGGATCGTGTTGATTGATGTGATGTTCTGAAGTACTAGATTTACCATCAGGGTAAATGCAGATATCTTCAACTCCACGGACAGCCTATCATAATGAGGAGAAAATTGCCCTGCACCATTTCTACAGCCCCAGGAGTTGGATGCCATATACGAATGAGCAAATATCTACAGCCCAAGTTTTCTCCTCAAAAAAGTGAAATCATAAACAAGAAATAAGGAATTCAATAAGATCAAACCATTGTAACCTACTAGTGAAACCTCTCTGAAAAGCTACGTCTACTTCAATATTTTAGTCTCGTGTGCTGTGTGCATGAAAAAATCCCTAGAACCTGACGGTCAATCGGTTTGATTTTTAATGAATGATATCACTAGATTCCAACGAGTCGGAGTCTCCTAATGCCAATATTGCTCTTATATTGCAAGCGCTGGTTCTAGAGGGACACCTTGGGATGAAAGGGTTGAGAATGGTGGTGGAAGAACTATATAGAGCGATGTGTTTTGTCCTTGCATCTTGAACAATAGATAGGTGTTGGGATGAATATCTTTGATACTTTTGAGTGAAGGGGAAGAAGGGACAACTTGAGATGGTCTATATCTTCCCCATGCGGAATTCTAAATGATGGAGTGAAGAGCAGAGTCAAGGTGAAAGAGGAAGCCTCCTGATTAGGCTTTGACACTGGTACTTTTGCGGGGGTAAGTACTCATTGAGCTTTTCAATATGTACTTGAAACACGCGCTGAATGTAACCAAATTTTCACACTGTGAATCCATACTATCATCTACCAATATCCAAGAAACCTGTAGGTCCAAATACGGACAAAGCGAGTTAGAACATCATTGCAATCGTCCAACTGCTAAACCTAGATACACAAACCACTGCAGCCTGGAGAACTCCATATGTTGTGATATTAATGATACTTTGCATAGTCGTACTTCTATCGATGAAAAGAGTTTTCAGGTGTTATTCCGTGGGCAGGTCGATAGAGGGGCTGAAGAGGTTGTGGTATTATCAAGAGGAAGATAGTATAGAATATTTGAATTATATAAACTTATTAGCGAAGCAGGCAAGCGATGGAATCTGGATTTTCGAGGATCTGATAGTATTTATTGATTCGAGAAGAATTTCTTTGCTTGCTGTCAATAGGTGGTTCGCTTCAAGATAAATATACTTGCTCGTCAAAAGCCTACATGTGATCTAGTGGTATCCGAATGCATGTCTTTTGTGAATTATCCCGAGACACATCAATGAAAGACAGCAGAGCACGGAGAGTATCACATACGTGGTTCGCTTCTTAGTTCCCGAAATCCCCATTTATAGTAACAAACTCATGCGTAATATCACATGTCCAATAAACCGCCTCCTCGTCGTCTTCGCGCCATTTCCTCCCATCATCCCGTAAATCCACTATCACCTCCACATCCTCTTCCTCCATCAGCTTTTTAGCCCTTACCTCATCAACTTTCACCAGCCTGCCTTTCTTCACAAAGTTCAATTCGTCCGTGCCATCAACAGGCATAAAGCTCACCGACGTAGATTCAGGGTTAATTATCCCCTTTCCAGCAAATTCCGTACCCATCAATGAATAACCCAATGCAGCCAGAACACCTATAGGGTTTGGATCCTTGCCATAGACCCCCGTCTTGAATAGCACAGAGCGTGCAATTACGGACGCGATATGTTTACCAGCTGGGTAAGTAGGCGCGCCTCGTACTCGTATAGTAATAAACTTCGTTGCACCTTCACCATCTCTTACTACCAACTTTGCTAGATCGGCCATGAACTCAATGAGCATTCTTTGAAAAGCGATGAAATCTTCAGATTGTGATTCTGCTGAGGAATCGAAGTCAACTGGGAAATGGGCATTGTTAGGTGCAGCGGCACCATTTGCGAGCATAGCAACCATGTCATTCGTGCTCGTGTCGCCCTCGATAGAAATGCAATTATAACTCTTGTCCGCAGCCGTACTCAAGAGCTGTTGGAGGGCAGGAGGTGTAATAGGAGCATCGGTACAAATTATACCAAGTGTGGTAGCCATGTTTGGATGGATCATACCCGCACCTTTGGTGATGCCTGCGATGGAGAAAGTTGTTTCCGGCGAGGATGGAAGTGTGAAGGTCCGGGATGCGAGTTTGGGGAAGGTGTCAGTTGTGCAGATGCCCCGCGCGGCTTCTATCCAGTGATCATGCGTGGTCCCCATTTCTTGCTGGAGATTGGGAAAACCTTGGATGATGTTATCAATACGGAGTCTAAAGGATATCAGTAAATAATAGATGGTGATGTGAGGGGATTTACCGTTGTCCACCCATACCTATGGCGGAGGAGTCATTATCAGTTCTTTACTTTTGTGCAATAGAAGCAATTCAAATTATCAGATGTATTGTGACGTTTATCCCGAGGAGAGCCACGGTAGTGAAAAATCCTCTTGAGATACTAACTTACCTGTATGCATAACCATCACAGATTCCTCTCCTTGTCCGGTTCCCTCACCAGACACAATCCGTCCCGCTTCCCTACTCATATTTCTCGAATCCTCCAGTCCCTTCTCCCCCGTAAGTAAATTCGCACACCAGGAATTCGCCACGACACCTCTCAGCCCTCTGCCCTTGCTTTTCTTCAACAAATCCCTAGTAACAACCACACTAGCGGCTGGAAACTCATTCTTCGTAAGTACAGCAGCTCCACAAGTCTCCCATTTCTTCTCGCTCGCGACTAAAATCAAGTCTGGTTGAGATAGACCATCTGGCTTTATCCCAACATTCGTACTACCCACTAAGAAGCCCTTTGGATAGGTGCCAGATGTAGGAACGAAACGCTGTTTGGAAGCAGGAATGGGGGAGTTGCCGAATGAGTCAAATTTTGTGAAAGAACGGTAGTGGTTCTCAACGTGGAGTGGCTTCTTGCGGATATGCCTGGCACCAATGCGAGAAATCAGGAGCATGATTTCAGTCGTATTTGAAAAAATAGAAAGACACTTGTGAGGAAGTTTGAGCGACCTGTATCATTAGGATGTTGTACATTCATCAACTCATTATAGATATACGATAAATACCCCGAGTAACGACTTTTTAATTTTCAATGACTCATAATTCCGATGCAGTTTCATTCGGATCCTCACCTAGTAAGTATATCGATTCAAATTCCGAAATATATAAAATTCACCAATTTTTTGTTTGATGTTTGATGATTGCATAATCCGGTCAGCCTGTATGGTTATGACTACCGGTAGTAGGTAGAAGAGGCGAACTTGGTGCGATGGTTCAAGATCGATGTCACGTTTGCATAAGATTCTGGAGTATCGTATAAACTACTTTATATGACACTTTTTCCATTTTTTGGATTAAGGTTGCAGACGTCTAAATAGATGGATTATGAAAGTAGCTATAGATTGAAAGCTTGAATATTTTGAGATCGCTTTCTCAATTCTACCACGCGGAAATACCCAGTGTTATACAAAGTAAACATTTCAACAGGCATGGATCCGGAGTGAGTGAGCTACTGTGTAAATATTTCTGCACGAGTTTACATGTGGCTGTACAATGCCAACAACGATATCGTGCCAGCTACGATAAGCCGTAGCATGTCTAAGAGATCGAGGAAGCCAATTACAACTTTTTAATTGAGTTGTGGAGACTATTGTGAAGTATAAGACTATTATTTCACCACCTATTTGTGGAACATGTCCTGCATGCAGCATCGCAGTCAGGTACGTACCAAATGCATGCATATATATGACAACGACTTTGAACTTTGAAGATGTTGCAACTTGCAAACTCACCTACACTGGATCACACTAAGCCTATTCAATCTCTAGCTTTCTGGGGCCGAAATAAAAGTGGATTCAAAGGTACATACGGAGGATTTGAATTGATCGGGAACACGAGGTAGAAAAATAACCTTATTTTATATAGGTTTAGTGCGTCCTGATAAAGATCAATTTATACGGAGTACGGTAGTATAAGTTACAACTTACAACTTATCATCTCAACAGAGCTGTTTATTATGGTTGGTCATTGATATCGATGCACCTCCCTTATCCGGTAAAGTGGGAGTGACATTATACCGTAAAAGGCAGCTCGAAAACACACTTCTCGTTTTGTCCGAGCCCTCGCCCGTTGTACCATCAAAACTCCGAGATCTAAGGTAAGACTTATCCCAAATTCACTTGGAGAATAAAGTTCTACGGACCAGACCTTTTGCATTGCCTAATAAGGTATATAAAGTATAACATTGATAAAACTGGAGGAGGATTGAAGCAAATATTTGAAGTAAAGTGGTTCACTCAGAGGACTATTCTGCGTTATGCTAAGGTAATCCCCCGATTAGTGGTAGTAGTGACGTACCTCAATTCGTCGAGTTTTGATGGTATGCCAGCTTAACAAGTCTTAAGTCCCGGCCTAGACTGTTAGGGCGTTGAGCTCTGCTTGGTCCATCGATCAAGTAAGCACACCGCCAATCATCTTTTATGGGTATCTTCGGCTCCATAGACTACTCTGTGCATGATTCATTTGCCTTTCAATTTGTTAACCTATATATGATTCTTATCGATTGTAAACCCCAAGACATTGGGGATCTACATAGAATCGATTCTCATGGGTCTCGACGTATGCATGCTTTCCAGATAAGGTAGGTGATACCGGTAGCTTTAGCCGCCCCCGGGTAGCAAAATGTATGAATACTTTGAGTGAATCCATAATTCACCATCGAGCCTATCCCTCTCTCTTTCACTTGTCCTTCTTCCACATCTGCGGGCTCGAGTCTCTTCAAGTCCACGACATCCATCATGAAGTGGTCAATTGTATCTGCGGTCTCTTTGCTGGTTGCAACTGCAGCTGCTGAACATCCTTTTCTTAAGCTGAGAAAGTTGGTTCCACCAGTTGAAGCAGATGATGAATTCCCTGCATCTATCAATGCAGCTACAAACATTACGGGTTCTGCTTTTTTTACCCAACTTTTGGATCATGAGAATCCTTCCAAAGGAACTTTCCAACAGAAGTTTTGGTGGAATTCCGAGAACTGGGCCGGTCCAGGATCTCCAGTGAGGGCACCCACGTCTTTCTGCCATTGAACTCCCGCTGATGTTTTTAGATCGTTTTCTTCACTCCAGGTGAAATTGCTGCTGCGGAATACGGTGCATACTTGACCAATGTCACAGTTACCGGACTCTTTGCACAGGAAGTCAAGGGCGCCGTTGTTATGGTTGAGCGTATGTATCTTCACCGTCCCGAAGTGGAAGGTGTGCTAAATATTCCGCAGATCGTTACTGGGGTGAATCGTCTCCATATGACAATTTGACGACGACGAATTTACAATACCTCAATCTCAAGCAAGCTATCGCTGATTTCGTTCACTTTGCAAAGACAGTTGATCTTCCATTTGACACCAACCACAGCAGTAATGCAGCTGCTGCACCTTGGATCCTCTCAGGTGGTAGCTACAGTGGTGCACTCGCTGCATGGACTGAATCTACAAGCCCTGGTACATTCTGGGCATACCATGCATCTAGTGCTCCAGTGCAAGCTATCAATAATTACTGGCAATACTTTTACCCCGTCCAAGATGGTATGGCAAAGAACTGCAGCAAAGACATTTCTTTAGTCATCGACTATATGGACAATGTTTTGACCCATGGAAACAAAAGTGCTGTGACTGCACTCAAGACCAAGTTTGGTTTGGAATCTGTCACGCATAATGATGACTTTATGGCAGTTCTTGAGAGCGGTCCGTGGTTATGGCAGTCAAATAGTTTCACCACAGGCTATTCAGGATTCTTCCAGTTCTGTGATGCAATTGAGGTGTGTATCTCCATTTCTGATGTGGCTAATCGTGTTCTAATCCAATAACAACAGAATGTTACCGCCGGAGCTGCTGTCACCCCAGATGCGAATGGCGTCGGTCTGACTACCGCATTGGAAGGTTTTGCAAAATGGACCAAGAGTTTAATACCCGGCAGTAAGCATCTGATTGATACTCAGAATATTAGGTTACTAATAAAGACGAACAGTCTGTGAGGATTACGGCTACGACGCCGATGATTTATCCTGCCTCAATACATATGATTTCAACAACTTCATGTTCAGAGATTATAGTGTCGGAAATGCGGCCGATAGACAGTGGAACTGGATGCTTTGCAATGAGCCATTTGGCTATTGGCAAGAGTATGTATTACGTAGACTAACATTGCACTACCTGTACTAATTATTTTGACAGCGGAGCACCAAGTAACAAACCCACACTCGTTTCTCGTCTCATCAATGCGAAATACTGGCAACGACAATGCGCCTTATACTTCCCAGCTGAGGGCAAATACACATACGCTAGCGCCAAAGGTGCAACTGTAAAACAGGTCAACCAGTACACTCAAGGATGGAATCTAGAGAACACCACTCGACTTATCTGGACAAACGGGTATGTAGTCCGATCCAACTTGCTGGTAATCTGCTGACACGTTTGTAGTCAATATGACCCATGGAGAACATCCGGTGTCAGCTCTCAATTTAGACCTGGTGGCGAGTTGCAATCTACTGCGCAACATCCGCTCCAAATCATTCCTGGCGGATTCCATTGTTCGGATCTCAGACTGAGCAATGGAAAAGCCAATGCGGGTGTCCAAAAAGTAATTGACAACGAAGTGGCACAAATAGTGGCATGGACAGCGGAGTATTACAATAAAACTTCGAGTTACCACTCATACTGAGGATATAGACGAGGATATTAGTATGGTTGTAATCTGTACATAGGTAGATACGAGAAATCTACTCGAATGAATAATGAGAAATGAATACGGTTCCTTACGGACCTTGAAAGTTTTCCAACTTTGCAGCTTGTGTGAAGAAAGTACGGATCACTAATCCTTATATGTGATGTGAGACCAAGGGGTGCTTTCAAATAGTTCTCGGGATATCAGATATATTAACGGAACATCAGACATACTAATTTAAAAAATGAATAGTAATCACTAGCAGGAAAGTAATCACTCTTTTCCACCGTCTGCAAGCTTGTTAGCAAGGGGCGAAGCTCCCTCGCCAAAAAAAGAATGCATGGCTGTGTCTTGACTTACTACCTCTTATCGCTTATCATTAGCCACCAAGTTACATACGCACCAGTGCAGAAGCAAGCTGTCCTTCCTTTCTATTAGAAATCAAACACACATCTGAAAATCAGGTATTTAGACCCCCAAGGACTTCTTCCTGAACCAGATTTTAGTTCTACCATACAAACAAATACTTACATCCTTAACCAGAAACGAATCATCAAAATGGTTCTCTTAAAAAGTCTCGTGTTCGCCGGCCTCGCCACAGTAGCAACGGCATCCTCTGCCGTCATCGATCTCATTCCTTCGAATTTTGATCAATTTGCCTTCGAGGGCAAGCCAGCATTAATCGAATTCTTTGCACCATGGTGCGGACATTGCAAAACCCTTGCACCGGTTTATGAGCAGCTTGCTCAGGACTTTGCATTTGCAAAGGACAAGGTCACAATTGCGAAAGTCGACGCGGATGCCGAGAAGAGCTTGGGAAAGAAATTCGGCGTTCAAGGTTTCCCAACCATCAAATATTTCGATGGAAAGAGCAAGACCCCGGAGGAATATAGTGGAGGCAGAGATATTGATAGCTTGACGGATTTCATCACAAAGAAGACTGGCATTAAGCCCAAGAAGGCGAAGGCTGCCCCAAGTGCTGTTGAGATGTTGAACGATAAGTCATTCAAGGAACAAATTGGTGGTGATAAGGATGTCATTGTTGCTTTTACTGCACCATGGTGTGGTCGTAAGTTTACCCTATTTCAATATTCACTGTGGTTTGCTAACCTATATTGTTGCAGACTGCAAGACTTTGGCACCAGTCTGGGAGAAGGTCGCTCAAGACTTCGCGAATGAACCTAATGTCCTCATCGCTAAGGTCGATGCCGAAGCAGAAAACTCCAAGGCCACAGCTAAGGACCAAGGCGTCACCTCTTACCCCACCATTAAGTTCTTCCCCAAGGGAAGCACTGAACCTGAAGCATACTCTGGTGGACGTTCCGAGAAGGACCTCGTCGAATTCATGAACAGCAAGGCAGGTACACACCGTGCTGTTGGTGGTGGACTTGATGCTACTGCCGGTACAATTGAAGCTTTGGATGCTCTTGTCGCCAAATTCACCGGTGGTTCAAGCATTGCCGAAGTTTCCGCAGAAGCTACCAAGGCTGCCCAAGAATACAAGGAGGGTGCTCAATTCAAGTATGCAGAGTACTACGTTAAGGTCTTCGACAAGTTGAGCAAGAGCGATAACTACGCCGCCAAGGAGCTCGCTAGATTGGATGGTATTATCAAGAAGGGAGGTTTGGCACCAGAGAAGTTGGATGAGTTCACAAGCAAGACCAACATCCTGAGAAGATTCATCGAGAAGGCAACTGGAAAGTCCGAGTTGTAAATATGTAATTTTTCAATGTAAAGAGGATTATAAAAATGACCTCAACAAGAAAAGTTTGTTTTGGACTATCCTCGTGGGGTTCTGGATTACTGTTTGCGGAATAAACAATTATGAATCATGTACTTTTGGATAACAATCTTTGGTATCTCGTCCCGTTTCCTTAATTAACGCCCGTCTGTACAACTGTAGTCCCACTGTGATATGCATATCAACCTACATTCGGACCAAAGTGCACTCTATGTGCCTGCCCTTTAACTGTTCCAAGTGTTGCTCGAGGACATTGTAATGTACTCGGACATTCTTTGCAGTCTACATCTTTGTAGGACTCCCTCTTCCATCCTTCAATTCCATGTTACTTTGTAGAGTCGCCTCTAGATTATCTAAACGTCGCGACATTTCGTCCACTATTGCGCATATGATTAGTAAAAATAGTTGAAACGAGGGCAAGAATGCGTGAAAAGAAAGAAAGGAGAGACGTACTCTTCGCGAAAATCTCGCTCGAAACACCAGCAAATTTATTCGAGAGGGAATTTAGAAGTTCATCAACGACGAGAGAAAGTTCGGCGGTGGCTGAGGCATCGGTTGTTATCTGTTTGTAAGTTCAATAGTTAGTTAGTTAGTTACGTTACGGAACGGGAGCTTGAGGTTAGGGTGCCACGGGTAGTGTGGTGTGGTGTAGTGTTTACTGACGGATGTGGTGGAGATGGTGGACATGCGATTTGCGTTTGGGGATTTAATGTCGTTTGTGGCCATTATTGGGAAATAGCTGATTTGATTTTTGGGAGAAGGATTTGGAGAAAATTGTTATTGCACAAGATTTGAAGATAGAACGAGCAATATTTTGATTTGAATACCTAAGGAATGATGATATTTGTTATGGTGCGGAAATACAAAGGTTTCAGAATCGCACAAGAGTGGTCAGTGATGGGACGGAATTTAGGAGGGGGTGTGGCCGATGATACCTCATTACAGTAATTGATTGTATCTTGAAGAACAATTCATCAAATTTACAACAACTTCATATTCACTTAACTCTTGCAGATCAGATATGTCTTTTCACCTTTCTCCTGGTTGAGTAGAATATGGCAGATTTCCACATAACAATACGAAAGAAAGGATAATAGATCCGTAAATATGCCACCTCAACGCGGCGATCTCTCAGTCCTCTTGCTCGTCATCATAGTCCTCTGGTGGTTTAATTCGAACGACACCAGTCTCCCTGCCAATTTCGGGAATCCGCAGAATTATGTAGAGGAACAATTGGCGCATAACAAGCATGTGTTTGGAGTGTTAAATACGACGAGTTATGGCGATTTTGCGCCGGGAGACTCGGAGGATGCGAGATATTTAAATTTGACTGGTTTCAAGGCGAAGGATGGTTATAGATGGGAGAGGTTGGATGCGTTTAGGAAGAGGAGTGATGATTTGAGGAAATGGGCGAGAGGGGTGCAGGAAGAATCGAAGTTTAATGGGGAAGGTGAGTGGGGCTTGGAGGGCAGGATCTATACAAATGTGACGGGAGTGGTGAGGGGGAGCTGGGCCAGATATATGAACGGTTTGGTGGACGGGAAGGAGAGGACGAGCAGGCTAAATTTGAGTGTTATTGCGCCGGGCGTACAATGGGCTTTCAAGGATCAGGAGCTATGGGGTAGGAATGTGACGGGTAGGGAAGGGAAAGTTATGTTGAGGTTGGATGAGGTTGCTGTGGAGGGGATGATTGTTCATGGGGCTAAAGAGGATTTTTCTGAAGGCGAAAGTTCAGCGAATTCTGGGGTAGAGACACCAAAGGAAGAAGCAAAAGTTGAGAAAAGAGATGTGTCTGATGGGATCGAAAGGGTTGATCTTGGAATTGGCGCAAATCCGAATACGGGTATACTTGTAAGGGAAGTCACAGCCTCGTTAACAGTTCAAGATGAGAGCAGTAGTGGGGATGGATATGAAATGAGGATGCATGGTGTCCATTGGCCAAATGAAGGCGGCGTCCTTTTAACTACTACTAGCGATAAATTCGCAGGGGCTTTTGCTCTTCCTCATTTTGCAACGGACGAAGATCATTTTAAGAGCAGTGCGGAGGTCATGAAAAAGATTTTAGGTACCAGATTACAGAAGCTTGAGGAATCTGCTAAAGAAAATCCGAGGAGTCTTCTGGAGCAAAATTCGGGCCAAGTCGATGGTTTGCCAACACCTCATTGCGAATATATCTTGTTTGCTCAAGTACAACCTTTGAAATTTAATGGCCTCGAATATGAAGACAGATCACACAAATCTCACAATTTCGTCCAGGAACTCGAGGAAGAGCTCCGATTCCCAAATGGTGCTCCTACTCCTAAGCCGCCCATGTTGCAACTGTCGACAATAATTTTCTCGCCCGATTGTGGATTTATGCTCGAATCAAAAGGGCCGCCAAAGTTCGCACCTGTTGATGGAGAACATCTAGTTGGCATGAAGCAGGAGGTTTGGTTAGAAAGTATTCGTTCTTGGTTAATGATACTTGCGGTAGTAGCTCTTTGCCAAGCTCTAATCCTGAAGGATCAATGTAAGGAGGCTTCCACACCATCAACCGTAGGGCGTGTTAGTATTCATACCGTTGGTATGATGCTTCTAGCAGACGGATTGTTATTTTTTACAATGTCGTTGGCGAGCGCTACATTATCCAGTATCTTCCCATCTGCATTATTATCATCATTTGCAGGCTTGATGTCAGTCGCGCTCGGAGTTCGCTTCATTGTAAATATTTATGGAGTCCAGGAACCGGAAAGATTAGAGCGGGAACGGGCACAAACAGCTGCATCACAAGCACCACAAGCTAGAAATTCACCAACTGGACGATCAACACCAGTTATTACCGCAGCGGGTGTAGATACATTACCTACAAATGCCCCATCTTCAGCTCAAAATACAGCCCAAAATGTTCCCATTATTGTCCCTTCGGATCAAGACGTCGATGCCGAAATAGCCGAAAACATCAACGCGACATTCGTACCGCCTCGTGCAACAGGAGCACAAGCCACCGTCCAAGAATCCAGAGCAAATTCCGATATTACTCCCTATTACGGCCAATTCATTCTTCTCCTCACTTTTATTCTCCTGCTTTCCATTGCCTCCACCACCTGGCCTGTCTCCCTTCGCACAGCCTATGTCTACCTCCTCTCCTTCATTTACATGTCTCTGTGGATCCCACAAGTCAAACGCAACATCACGCGTAATTGCCGGAAAGCTCTACTTTGGCGTTTCGTCATCGCACAGAGTTTGCTAAGGTTATCTCCATTTGCTTACTTCTTTCTCTATGAAGACAATTTCCTCTTCAGCGAAACCGACTGGACAGCGATGATGATTTTAGCAGGATGGGTCTGGTGTCAGCTTGTAGTGTTATATAGTCAGGAGGTCCTTGGACCCAGATGGGCCGTTCCAAAACGCTTCGGAATGGTATAAAGAGGGATGGGACTACCACCCTGTATTACGAGAAGACAACGTCGAATCTGGAGGCTTACCAATCGGTCTTGTAAAAGTCCCCGCTCAATTCTCCGACAACTCCAGGTTTTGCAGAAACAGACATGAGCACGGAGACTGAGAGGGATAATACCAAATCCGGTATTCGATCAGTAGATTGTGCGATTTGTATGCAAATTCTTGAGGTTCCGGTCGTGGGTCATGATGAGGACGAGGGTGTCTCGAAGAGTGTCTTGGGCGCTTGGGATAGGAGAACTTATACGGTTACCCCTTGTAGACATGTTTTTCATACCCAGTGTTAGATAGGTTGGATGAAATATCGCTTGCAGTGTCCCATTTGTAGGGAGGGTTTGCCGCCTTTGTGAGGTTTGTATGTGCCTAGGTATCTATGAATACGTGGATAGTGCAAAGTTCATGTGGCTAGCAAATATATATATGTTGGATAATAACCATATAGCTTATATTGTATATGTATATATGGTAAGATAGTAAAGAAGTATATTATTGAATATATATTCATTATATTATACTATAATATCAGATTTATATATCTCCTATATTTATAGTTTTAACTTTAAAATATATCTCCTTATATCAGTGTAGAAATCGCTATACAAGATCTTGCTACTCACTCACTTAGTAAATTCAAGATTTTAAAGAGTCTATGAAAGGGCAGCTCTCGCTTACGAACATATTACATCATTGGAAGGAAGATATTTGAGTTTGAATATATCTTCTAGATTGAGATACTTACTCTGTATCATTTCAAATATTTCTCCTGTAATGGAAGATTTGAAACTGCGAGTGAATAGGATATACCGGTAAAAATTTCAGAACTTTATATCGCACAATGTATCAAGCTCAATAACTTTCTTTTATGTACTCCACTCCATTCCATTCCATCTACACTCCATTCATCTACATCCGCAACCACACCACCAACTACCTCTTCAACGTCTTCTGTTTCTCAGCATCCCTAACCAATTTCTCCCCCTCGACCCTCAACCCCTTCCTCTTCCTCACACCATCCATATATTTCTTAGCCACATTCTCCCTATCAGCCAACTCACCCAGATCCTCCAAATCATCCTCGGTAAAGGGAGTCCAGAAGGGATCTTCATCTAGGACCTCATAGCCCTGAAAGATTAACTGGGGACTAGCTGCTCCGGAAGTTCTCTTGCGGATTTCATCTGAGAAGCCAAAGGAGAGGGCCACGGGGAGAAGTGATACGATGGTGAAGAAGGGGGTTCCTTCTTTGAGGGATTCAGAGAGGATGTGTCCGCGACGACGGGTGAGGACGTCGTAGACGCGGCCGAGTACTTCGGCTGTTGGGATTGTGTTAGTTTATATTTATTCTCTACCTGGATCTTTCAGGTATTCATGACATTTGTAGGGAGGACTTACTACTAGCTTGGATTTCACACGAGTACATAGCAAGCATAAGTCTTGGGGACCAATCCAAGAAGCCTTGTTTAATAGCCTGTTGAACAGTTTTAATCACTTCACCAGTTAATCGACCAAAATTATCACGAGTTGATGATTCATCGTCAGTGGAAGGGGCTATGGTGACATCTTCGAGGAAAACAGCGATTCCTTGGATAGGCTCATTGCAGAGAGGACCTTGGGCAGTGGCGAGTTGGAAAGCATAGCTAATTTTATCAGAAAAGGAACGGGCTTGAAGTGCTTGATTTTGAGCTGTTGAGTCTTGGGAGTCAGTAGTGGTGTCTTCGCGAAGGCTATGTAACGTTAGTGTACTTTAGCTAAATAGGAATGTGCTAGAGCTTACAATTTTCCAAGGATTCCATCGGCCGTGGAGTCAAGTAAGAGATTAGGTCCAGTTCTTCGTGGACCAAAAGCAGTAATTTGATCCACAGCTGAAGCCCAAATATCTTTTTGACCTTTTACTCCTTCGAAGGTTTTTTGTAGTTCTTGTTTAAATTCAGCCAATGATAAGACTTTCTCGCCACCCAAGAGTTCTTCAACCTCTTCCTGTTCAATTGTCTCTTGAGTGGTATCATCGCCGGTCTTCTTGCTCTTCTCCTCCGCCTGACGATCAGAATAAAGTCTCTTGATAGCGCCAGCATTCTTGACCAAGAACTCAGTTACCTCCACTGGAAGAGGTCTTACACGTAATCGAATCATGATCTGTTTTGATGTAGTTGACAATACAACTGTGCCTCTTCCAAGTTCCTTATTTGCTGGAGGTTTCATATCTTCAGCTCTAACAATGGTTTCTCGGTATGGTACAATCGGCTCTCCTGCTTGAATGTCACATCCTGCAAATCTCTCACGAAGATCTGTCAAACAACGCTCTAAATGTAATTCCCCTGCTGTAAGTAGAACATGTTCACCACTTGCGAATTGTTCATACTCAGCACAAGGATCACTCTGAACGAGTAACTTAAGACCTCGAATCATCTTGTCGAGATCTCCAGGCCAAGCTGGTTCTAAAGCAACACGAACGATAGGCTGAGAACCCATGTTAACTCCTGCAAGATTGACACTACCTTCCAATTGACTGCAAAGGGTTCCAGATTTGAGTATATGGCCTTCAAGACCTCCAATACCAAATACAACACCGGCTGGAACAGAAGTAAGCGGTTCTAATCCACGGCCCATCAATAAGTATAACGCCGTGACTGTAACCTTTTGTGGTTCAGGACTATTGTGTGGGTGTGCAGGAGAGAACTTTGGCGGTAATACATAAATAGAATCTCCTACAGATAAAGTCCCAGAGTATATTCGTGCAAAACCTATCAGATGTTCTGGATCGGGTTTCTTCTCTTCCTCGACAGGCTCCTCAAGGCTTACTGATCCAAGTGCATCAGATACTCCATCCACTGATTCAGAGGCTCCTTCCAAAGCCTGCTGTCTTGCAATTTCGGCTCGCTTACGTCGACCCATCTCCAAGGCTTCTTCAGGACTCAGAGCACCCCCTCGTCGCTTGTTCTCAGGTAGTTCACTCTCCGGTATCGAAACCATCTTACTGACATAAGCCACAACCGGTTCTTCTTTTGAAGTCTTGAATTTAATCATTGCTTCTCTGACCTTGGGATCAACATGTGATGCACCAGGAGATGCGTCGATAAGTGCTGGTAGTCGTCCTTCTTGAGCAGCAGGTGGAGCAGGTAAAGATTCGATGACAGAAACCAGTAGAGCAGTTGATAGTGGAAGCCATGATGAGAATAATGTAGTAAGAATAGCCCGTGGATCGCGGGAACGTGTAACATGTGGAGGTAAAGTAATGTTTAATGACTTGGTAATCTTTTCTGTCATGACAGGATCACTAAATGGACTTGAGTTAGAATTGATGGTTAAATTGCATAAGATTAGATATATAAACAGGTTTAAGGAGAGATAGAAATCCACGCACCCCTTCCCTTTGTCACCACCCGTTGTTGCCGCATAAACAGCCCACACCTGTTCCAAAACTAATTGGACAAACAATGGTTTTAAATTTCGCCCCTTGAGATGTTTTGGTCCAAGGACTTTTTTGGTCTTCGGATCCAGGTAGAAATCTCCCCATAGAACCTTCTCCATTGCGGTTCTCTTGATTCCCAATTTCTTCTCATACAAGCTGGCGAACTGTCTAACTGTGAATGCCCATCCATCAATGGCGCTGCTAAATATGACATTATTTTTTTCTGGTGCAAAGTAAATATCCTCATCATCTTTTTCTTGGAATTCGTTCATAGCTTCGGTATCAATTGAGGTGCTTCCGTCATTCCCTGATCGTTCTTGTTCTTTCGCAGCGGCAGCGGCAATTCTCTCATCCACTCTTTCTCTCCAGTTTAAATCTTCCTCCATTCGCTCACCTTGGAAGAAACTTCCAAGTACAGCATTGACTTGCTCCAGCAGCTTGCTTAAATGTGTATATGCTTCGGCTGGGGTCATCTTCAATTCCGTAATAAGTCTATCCATCTTGTTGATTACCAAGAGAGGTTTCATATGTTCTACCCATGTCTGCCTCAAAACCGTAACAGTCTGACTACAGACTCCCTCAACTGCATCCACTAAAACGACAGCGCCATCGCATAATCGTGAGGCGGTCGATACCTCACTGCTGAAATCGATATGTCCAGGCGAATCTATTAAGTTGATCAAGTATTCTTTTTGTTCAGGTGTAGCATCTGGTGCATTTCGTCTTAACATGGAGAAATATAATGATATGGCAGATGATTCCATAGTAATCCCGCGCGTCTGTTCATCTGGTCGAGAGTCGAGGTATCGTATTTTACCAGCGAGCTTTGGAGAAATGATGCCATTTGTGGCAATCAAGGCATCTGACAGTGAAGTTTTTCCATGATCCTAGAGATATTAGCAATGGGAAAATAATGTACAAGAATGGGGCATATACTTACAACATGTGCTAATATGCATATCTCGAGAGGACATTGTTAGCATTGAGAGTCCTAACATAATACCTGCCCCGCCAAAGACTTACATTTCTAATGTCTTGAGCATTTTGCTGCAGAGCAACTAGCTTTTCTGGATTGACGATTGGCATTCTGTAGGTTAGCTTGAGATATATGTATATTTCTTTGATTTAAATGAAATATTAAGCCCAAATTTATATGCGCAAGATGTATTTTATCTCTTGTCGAGTCTGCCTATCTGGGGCGATTCTATTTACGGGACTGGTACCGTGTGCGGATGATGACCGGGTATTTATTTGAGGGTGAATAGAGAAGAATGAACATCTATTGATAGCAAAAATGACTCATAATGATTCAATATGTTTAGATGATAGAATGAGCAACAAACTGCAATGTTTGAAATTCGACGCGGAGTAAGATGGAAATGGGAAAATGTTACTATTTTTCTGGAGCGGCCGCTTAGCCCGAGCCTTCACAACGTCACTGAGCCCCGCCAAACGTGAAAGCTACTATGTACACGTGCTTGACGTGAAGAAGTGTCTAAGTAGGGGAGGTATTTTCCAATAGTCGGTTGTCAACATCGTCGATTGTTGTCAATGTCTGATGGACAACCACAACAGACAAATTGACGGTCAAGTAGGCATCTTATTGGAGAATCTATTGACACTATTTGAGTAAAACCAATATCTACATAACCTTACAATGTGAGATTACAATTGTTACTCCTGCTGATAGTCGTTAATCTACTAAAACGACAGAGAATCGAAAATGCAGCTTTTCAATTTCCGAAACCTCGCCTAGCACGTTTTCGAGACGGATTTCATCGACGATGGGTACGTTGGATTTCGATAATCCTCGTCATAGCTTTGATGAATTGTGCTAATAGATTTCAGAAGTACGTCGTCATCTGGGAATGTGAGGCTAGCTATAGAGATAAGACCACATGTGCCAGAAGCCATCACCAGCAAGTCTAACTGTAGTGTTCTCGCTTACTGCGACGTATTCTTACCTTGAAGGTGATAGCATTGTATTTGAAGATATCAGACGTCGATGAAAAGTTGAGCATAGGTCATCCGTGGATTTTCCAGTAGTTAACTTGATGATTGAGGATAGTGATCAAAATCTTTCTATGATTCCATCTGTCTCATATTTTTCGGGAGTTTGTGTAGTGGTAGATGATCTGCAGGGTTCGAAGACGATATATATACCGGGTAGAGATGAAGATAGTTCTTGTAGCATGATCAGCTTTCATGAATCGTTCGAAGATAGTAAGACTTACACGTGATACACTGCTACTATTGGAGAAGCTAGCGTTGTAGTTCATGTCCTCTGGATGAAAACCCCACAAAACTCATGTACAGAATACCTCCTAAGAATATCCTTACCATGATAATATTACCGTATCGAGTTACTATCTATGAGTTTTCCTGAGATAAAATAATAGTTACCACTAAGACTACTATCTATGATGATATGGCAAACAGTTTTCATGAATGATAATCTTCTATGAGGATTTGAATTTATTCAAAGTACTGCTCTTGAAGGAAGAATACTCATACTTATACTTATATCCTTTTCTGTTTATAATATTTTCTATACCTTCTTCTTTGGAGGGATTTCGGTTGTGTTCTCTTTGGACCCTATGCGAACTCGATAAAGATTCGAGTCTACAACACTAAAACCACCACTCCTCTCGATATCCAATTCTTGAGACAAGTCCCTATACCAGGGTGGAACAAATTACGGTCAAGCATTGATGGTAAAGCCTCACACTGGAGTCCCTGAATGTAGAGAGTACAGCAAATCATGTATAAGGGGTTAGAAACGAGGGTAGGAAAGCTATTAAGATGGAACTCTATAGGGTTACGTTGAAGAAGCTCCGATGATTCTTTGCGGAGTACAGTGTTATTAATCAGGAACGCGGGATGGAGGCTATTGAATGAATCTGCTAATTCTGTACATATTTCTCATTGCAATGAAACAAATTTAATTACTAGGAGAGGTATAACGGGAGATGCAAGATGCAAGATGCAAATGATGATCTATTTAGATGCTATCCATTTCTCTCTCCAACATACTACTTACCTAGTACATACATCATGCGAAACCAGTTCGAGGGCCATCTGATGAAATGAATGACCAGATCTCCAGGCCAAAACCCCCTTGTAACGGTGAAATGTTAAACCAATTGTTGTGAAGATCGTGACCCAATCAATTCCTGAAATTAAGCAAGTTCCATTTTTATTCCATTTTTATTCCCAGTTAGATGCCCAGTAAATGTCCATCATAATCCTTGATGGATTTTGGTTTCACCATCATGCTTGATCTAAAAAGGTCCAGACGTTATATGTTATTGACCGGCAGCTTATAAGGTTAATATAAAACGCTCCAACCAACAGGAAGAAAGGAGTTGTGAATTTACTTTATATTGCTGCCCGTGAACTTTCCATGTTCTCTGTTTTGTGTGTGATTATCACTACACTATTCCTCTGACAATTGCGCATTACCTGCTACATACTCCGGTACACTATCTATCGTATTGTTGCTTCGAATAATGTTGTTTGTTCTAACCTCATCATATCTATTATACTTTTGCCTTCAAGAGCGGTGACCATCTTCCTTATATTTTGATCAACACCAAGGACGAAACCTCATCAAAACATCCACCTTTGAAAGAAAATCGAGGTGGCTGAACTGCCGAAGTTTCAATCTCGAAAACCAGAGGCAGTAACCTTACATTTTTCTCAAGATTACACGACTTGGGAGGAATTTGGGCCTTCTTTTTTAGCTGGAAATCTTCTTTCTACAACAACAACTTTATATCAAGCTTCGAGCATAAGCTTTCTTCCACAACAATTACATCCCATCAAAACAATTCACAATAATCAAATCGCATACACAAACAATATAGTATACATGCCTGGAACAATTATGGCGGAGGTCCAGCAGCCATCAATGGGACAGAGTCAACCACGAGCAATTCCTGTACAGGATACAGCCTTGCAGATACAACCTCCAGCTTCTACAAAACTTTCTCCCTCTGCGCCCATAAATCGTGTTCGCAATTCGCATCTCGCTTTAGATACTTTTTCGCCTGTTAATCAGAATGGAAGTTTCGAGTTTGATCGTGTTTTAAAGAGTGGTTATGTGCAGAAACGAACGAGGAAAACAAAGGTATGATTTCGTTGACAATAATTACATTTCCATGAACTCATTTTATTTCGCAGGCGTGGAAACCTATTTTTCTTGTCCTCCGACCAAATTACCTCTCAATCTACAAAGACCAGAATGAAGATAAACTGCGCCATAAAATCCATCTTTCAGACTTAACAGCCGTCGCCTTCCTTAAAGATCCCAAACAAAAACGGCGCAATGTATTCGGCCTCTTCACACCCTCTCGAAACTACCATCTGGAAGCTACCACCAAAGGCGATGCAGAAGAATGGGTTAACCTCATTCGCAAAGAAGCGCGAATCGACGAAGAAGAAGAGGAAGAAATGTTACTCGCCAGTCCTTCTGGTAATATAACTAGCACATATCCTGGATTTGATCAAGCCGTAGCGCACCAGCAATTACAACGAAAAACTGAAGCCCAACTTCTACATGATGAAAGACTAGGAAGTAGTTCTCCGGAGCCAGCAGATCCTTTGCCACGGACGAATAATAAACAAAATATATCGGCATTCGGAGGAGGCAGACGCCCATCAAATACAATCGAATATTCTGGCAATGAACTAGTATCTGATGCCGAATTTTCAGATACAGATCTTGCGCGCCTACCCGGTAACTCGACTATTTCTCTAAACCTACACAACCCTTCCAACAACCTAAACTCCAACCAAGATCTTGAAGTGAAACCCCCTTCCTCCACACTTCCACTCGCACGCAATACATCCCAATTATCTCTCTCGCAACATCCACTCCCCGATCAAGACCCTGAACGTGTAGTCTATCAAGGTTATCTCCTCTATTTACGCTCGAAAAACGGTATTCGCTCCTGGAAAAATCTTTGGGTAGTACTACGTCCCCGTTCTTTATCCTTCTATAAAAACGACTCGGAATACTCACCGGTCATGATTGTACCCATGGAAAACGTAATAAATGTTGTGGAAATTGATCCATTGAGTAGGACGAAACCATATTGTTTTCAGGTGATTAGTGAGGAAAGAAGTTTTAAGTTCTGTGCGGGAAGTGAAGGGGCACTGGTGAATGTTTTAGGGGCGTGTAAGAGTTTGTTGGCGAGGAGAAAGGGGGGTGTGGGTGTGTAAAGTATGGGTCGAGATGGAATGAAGTAGATGGGAGATTTCCCATCTCTTCAGGCAGAATAGAAGATAGGACGAGACGGGACGAGACGATACGAGGAAGAATTCTAGTAGCCAGCGCTAGGAATTGTATATAAGCTGGTGGATATGAGTGTATGTGGTAGTGACAGGAGCTAGCGAGTGCGAGTGCGAGTGCAAATGCAAATGCAAATGCGAGTTTGATTACGAATGAAGAATCATTTGTAAAGAAAGGAATGGAGGGAGGGGGGAAGGGAGGAACAATATAATAATGAATACGAAACGAACTTTATGATCAATGTAATTTAATCAATTTTATACTTTTACCTGTACTTGTATCTATATATGTATTCAATTATTTATTTGGGTAGTTATTTGATAGATTGTCTGTTTTTTTTATTTTTGTTTTGTTCTATTATGTTCTGTTTTTGTTTTTTTTTCTTTTTTATAGATATAGAATTAAGAATTAAGAGAATAAGAATAAAATAATTAGATTATATTGAATTTGATAATTTATCTACTTAGAATTAAAAATAGACTTTATTATATTTTGATATAGATTACAGATTAAAGATTAGAAACTAGAGAGGCTGGATTTGATTGGGTTGGATTGGATATAATAGATGAATAGAAGAAAAGATGGAAAGAGGAAAAGGAGGAAAAAGGGATGGAGGAAAGAAGAGAAGAGTGGAGAGAGAGGAGGGAAAGGAGTAGAAGCGAAAGAAGGGGAGGGGACGGAGAAGTAAAAGTGGTAATAAACTTAGATATTTATTTAATATCTAACATCTAATAAATATATATTTGTACAAGTATCACTTGGACTAGTGTTCGAATTCATAATATTTCATGTTGTATATTATATTAATATATATTTTGATTATGGATCTATCGTGAAGTAATTAAAGCTTTACAATATAAGATCTCAAAAATTGGATTTCCACTGTGATATACACTTCATGCTTTTCCCTTCATTATTACACTCTGTGTACTATCATTCCTATCGCTCTTGTCTTTCATACCAGATACGTTTTTTCATAATTTAAGGATCTAGTCCCAAATATTTTACTCCATATACTTTTTTCCATAATTCAAGGATCCCGTCCCAAATGGTTTACTCCATACAATGTTCGTTCACATCCCAACATATCGCAGACAGCAAAACCCAATTCTCTAGTAGACATCCAAACCGTTTTTGATGGCATAGTTGTGAAAAATTCCAGTCAAGCCCGCGTCATAGCCAATAGTCGTTCTTTTGTTCATATTATTCGCATCATTCGTATCGTGAGCCCAGATCAAATCACAACCCCTTTTTGTATTAACCTGTTCAATGGTATTGCTACTCCCAACAACATCTTCATTTCAAAAGCACTTCTCCACATCTTGCCTTAATATTGTGTAATCAAAACATCTGGAACATGTAAACCCACACCTTCCTCCATAACAGCAACCCCATCCTCTACTTCCAATGGTTCCGCACCAAAAAAGTGACCATCAGACTCGGATTCTTCCATTAAAGTTGGTGTAGTAGGAGTAGCTAATAGTGAGACTTCAGATGGAGTTTGTGGAGGAAGAGGAATTAGCACTGCGTGGTTTTGGGGAATATTCGAATTTGAGGTGAATGGATTGGTTATATTGTTTGATTGGTAGGTAGGACCTGACATGGCGATGTAAGGAAAAGGATAGGCGCTAGATTCACTAGACGTTGAAGTGGTTTCGGAAGAAGAAGTTGGAAAAGACCCCGGGGTGGAGGAAGGAGAGTTGGAAAAGATATCAGATCTGGGGAAAGAGTTACGAGCTGGATGTGATGGATTGCAGGTATCTGTTGGAGAAGGCGAAGAATTGTAGTTTGGGTTGTTAGGAATTGGAGTGGCATTTGATCGATGAGTAAGAATACCAAGGCTAAGGTTCGCTGCTCGTTTTTGATATCTTAGGTTTCGAGATCGTGATCGACTCGGATTGACCTCCTGAATTGGGTTAGTCTATGTGTATTGTGATTGTAGTAAATTCGATAGAAAGAAGATCTTTATTAATACATACAACAGGAACAGGATTTGGTCTTAATCCCAAATTTTTAACAACCTCAACCTTGGCTACAGGCCTGAATTTCTGTAAATTAAATCCAAACCCAGTGATGGCAGTGCAAGGTAGGTCGTCATCCAAAATTGCATTGAGACTGAGAAAGCTGCGATCGAGGAGGGTTGGCCGGCATGTGTGGCAACATTTGAACTGGCACTCTGTACCTCTAGACGGTAGCCATGGACGGGGGTTTGTGACTCTCATATTTGGGACTGTTTGAGCGGTACTGAGCGATGGGCGGGAGAAAGGATTGAACAGAAAGCGGGGAATGTTGGTGGAAGAGTTTGACGGTGTGAGTTCAGGCTCCTCAGAATCGGTAAGTACGTCAAGAAGCTAATTGTGATGTCAGAAAGAGTACTCAAGAAATTGGAGGACTACTACTAACATGACTGCGTTGTCTGAGAATAGTCTGGATTTGCGCAGGTGTATAGGTTTTGAGATCTTTGTTACTGATTTCATCCAGGAAACTCAGTCTCGACTTACGTGCCTCTGGTCCACGAGGTCTGGGTGCCGTACGTCTTGGGAAAATATCACAGAGGTCGTCCAGTTTCTCTTGACTCTTTATCAATGTTAATAAATAAAGTTATGCACAGATTGAAATATCTTGATGAAAACTTACAGCGTGTCCATGATCCATGTCATCCTCTAACATGAGTTCACGATCTTGAGTACATCTCCACACCCATCCAAATGAACCTTCTCGGAAACAAATCCCACATCGAAACTCTCTGGTAAAGAGACGCGTAGTAGTCAAATGTGTGCATTGTACATTTCTTGTAACATGCGTGGCGCGTCTGGTAGTTTCTGCCAAAGCAGGTAAAGAATTTCGATTTGTAGTGATAGGCATTACGGTCGTCATTGAAGAGATAATGCTGGCCGTTGATGCCGATGTACGTCTGACGGGGAGTTTTGAGGATCGTGTTGTATTATTAGTTGTCGGTTTGGTTGTCGCCATGATTGTGCAAAGAGGATCAAGAATCCAAACAAACACTTGAAATGTTTGAAATTTTGACTGAGCTACAATTCACTATCAAACCTCGGGGATGTTTGGAAATGAGTTATTCGATTAGATGAAGCTATCAAGGCGCGTATAAAAAGATCAAAGTAAAGGTGGGTTGAGTGAATATAGGTTGCAAAATTATTTCTTGTTTATAGTGATTCGTACCTATCAAATTGAGATGAATTGACTCGCTTGACGGGATGGAGATTACATCGACCAGAGATTTTTAGTAACCAATTGAAAACAAGTAGACAGATACAAAATAACAAGAGTGAAAAGTAGAAAGTGAAATATAATTAGTAGCCTTCAACGAGTTCTCGTCTTATTGCGTGAGTTGACTTGACATGAAAGCATTCGCATCGTGCCAATAAAAATGCCATTTCGTTCACCATTTGAATTCGGAAAGGGAAACTGCAGCGTTCAAAAATGCCATTTTTGGTCGTCTCGTACCAACCAACAACAAGTGTGTGTAACTTACAATCGCTCCTACCTTTCTAGTGAAAGGTTCTAAGAAGACATCATATTGGCCTGATTAGAACATCCAACATCAATCAAATTGAAAGGCTGTTTCTTCCAATCTGAGAAAAAGGTAGGATAGGAACTGAATTTTCAGTATTTCTATCTGGCTTCGTTCCCTCTCTCCTCAACCTCAATTGACACTTACCTTCACCCTGACGAAGCTCAAAATTCACATTCCAACCGCAATACATCATCGATACTCTTGATATAAAGGCATGACGAGCTTATCGAAAGGAGCAGTCTGACGGAGTTTCTCAAAACTGCTTTTCTGAATGAATGGCATTGAAGTAGGAGTTGATTGGGCGTGTTTGAACAACTCTCTTGAAGGCTTCTTTCAATACACAAACAATTTTGAAGCAATGTGGGAGAAGCAGCTTGATGAATGTTTCCTGTGCTGCTTTGGTTTCTTACACAGTTCTGTATTGAGTATTGTATTCAGAGACGTGTGTAAGCAATTCTCGAGATATCTTTCAACGTACAGTTTGAAGCGGTTATCGAAACGACCAGCTCGAGGAATGTTTCTCGCGGGTACTGTGAATTTATAGTTTTGAGATAAACATTAAAATGAGCGTATGGAATAATTCTCTCAAGTCAAAGAGTTTGAAGCAAATGGTTATGCTGGGTTCGATCCATGGATATTTTATGAAAGTGGCACCACATTTATGCTTCATATTGCGGTTATAAAAACTCGTCGAACGTTTCAAAGATCTGGACAACTGTCAGCATAAGTAAAATATCATTCTATACCTACGTAAGGATAGAAAATCAAGCATACGGTACTGTACCTTCACAACACGTAATCGTACATGTTGACAGGATGAAATGGGATCAATGTATGATTCCAGTTAGAAAAATAAAGTATATTGATTTAAGGGTTTTGATGTACTTTATCGGTTTCAACTTGCAGAGATTTCAACCGTGATGTCTCACAACTTGGACATTTTTCCCTCGAGTCCCACACATGTCTCTCATTTGGTCATTTTCATCATTCATGAAATTCTAGACTTTAGCAGCGAGTTAGGGTTTTATATGGAGATTACCAATAAAAATTTGAACTTCAGCTGGTCAATGCACGAACCTGGGGTAGATCTATGTAAGTGACTATAATTCGTAGCGGAGTAATCGTTATTTGTCCATTTTTAGAGAGTGAGAGACTGGGAGTAAGTGGAGAAGAAAGAGGACTAGGGATAATGGGAGAGGAGAAGAAGTGAGGATGTTGACATGAGGTGATCAGAGTTGATGTGGGTGATGTGGATGTTATGATGTATGATGGATGTATGGTGGCCATGGATGTATGATGTATGATGTATCCGTATGTATGTATGAGATGGATAAATAGGTACGGGTACACCTTTAACATAAACGTTATATGGAGCCAAAACGATAAGTAATTAAAGGAAGGCTCAGTGCTTATCTACTTAGGGACTTACTTACATACTTTAGATCCTTAAATCCATTTTATCCTCGTAACGTTTGGGCTTGGTATTTTTATTAATAAATACTTAGCTGTGTACCTACGCACATACACATCTCAGACTGTCTATTTAAAAGGTTATTGTTCGTATATTTATTAATGTTAATTTCCAAAGCGGACAACGCGGGAAGCAAAAGATTTCATGGGCATCAGATATTATAATTTTTTATTCCTAATCCGACATTCAGATTCAGATTCATATTCATATTCGTCGTCTTTTTTCCCAGCCAATCCTCCTTGTCGGTTTCATTATATACTGGGTAGATGCTTGATGTAGTATACATTTTATTTATATGGTTGATGCGTTGTATGAATTCTGTTGTCTGAAGCGACTCGTGAGTCCATCAGAGCAGAAGCAAATAAGAAGGGAGAGAAGGAGAGGAGAGAAGAAAGGAAAGAAAAGAAACAGGCTTCACTTCAATCGAAAGCTTGCTTTTGCTTATCGACAACTTCATTTACTTGAGTATCTTTCACCCATCATTGCACCTTGCATACTCCATATATATATACACTCAATCAATACATGGTCTATTCGGTGAGAGAGAAATTTGATAAAACTGTATGTACCACCAGACCAAAATCCTTGTCAAGCCGCTAAATACTTAGATCAATCTCCGCATCCCATCCTACATCCCATCCCATTATTCTATCCATCCATCCCGTTTCCCAGATTGATCCCATAGTGATCCCAATCTCCAGCAGTTAATAAATCTTCCATCAGTCATCAGTGCTCCAAATAATCAAATCAATCAAATCAAACCAAATCATATCCATCATATCTAGTAACCTTACCAGACCTACCTAGACACTTAGTGCACCCAGATAACCTCCCTAGTCCTCATCCTACCTTACCTACTACTTAATACGTCCTGTTGATCTCGGACCCGAAGCCTTTTTTAAACTTGAAATTACTTTTTCCTGGCCACCAAAGAAAAAAAGTCCCTTCTCTTTCTCACCACCCCCTCCCCCCAACCCCAGCCTCCAACTACTAAACCTTTTGGGTCTTATTTTTGTTGTGCAGGAATATACTCCGTACATCGTGTCAACAATTTTACTTTGATTGATTGATTGATTGATTGTTTGATTGATCGATAGATCGATTGATTGACCGTACATCAATCCATCTCCACGATAAAGGTCAGTTCACTTACTCCACCCCGCATTATTTTAAAACAATAGCAAGAATTAGAATCTTTTTTAAAATCTCCTTGTCTATTTATTCATCTTGATCTTGCGCAATCGCTTCCTCTTAACAGGGCGGGGGGGCCTGTGTGCGCCTCGATCAAGACCTGTTACCTGAGCTCACCTCGGCTCTGCATCGTGTAAACAACAAGATCAAGTTTGGAGAGAGCTTGTTGTTTCTTCTCCTCATTTCTTCAACTTCCGATATCACCGTTATTTCGAACAAGTCGCGTTCACGAGCTTTTATACTGATAAGTCGTTCATTCCTATAGTCTCCGAGGGTTTGAATGACCTCTCACCCATCACAATGTCGGTCAAATTCGAGAAAGATACCATAAAAACCACCGGTCCTCTTGCAGGTATACAAGGCGCTCCAGCGATCGAAGTTAAAGATGTTCATCATCATCATCACCACCATCTACCAGGTCACCACTTAAGACACAATGTCGGTGTCGCCTTAACTGGAGGGAAAGCCAATGAAGGAACACCAGGATACTTATCTGTAAGCCATTGATCTCGGAAATCACACATGGCGCAATCGGATCGCTCACTCACTAATCATGTTATGTTTGAATAGCTGTACCTCAAAGAACTACAAACCAATCCTCTTCGTACGAAAATGCTCACGTCTGGCACATTATCGGCTTTACAAGAACTTTTGGCCTCATGGATCGCGAAGGATCGTAATAAGCAGGGTCATTATTTCACGTCTCGAGTTCCCAAAATGGCTGCATATGGCGCTTTTATTAGTGCTCCTCTAGGCCATGTATTGATCAGTATTTTGCAAAGGATTTTTGCTGGACGTACGAGTTTGAAAGCCAAGGTTCTTCAAATTCTGTTGAGCAATTTAGTGGTAGGTTCAGCTCGTCTGTTTTTATCATGTAGACAAAGCTGACAATAGATCAATAAAAGGTTGCTCCGATTCAAAATACTGTGTATTTGTACTCAATGGCACTTATTGCAGGCGCAAAGACCATTCATCAAGTACATGCAACTTGGAGAGCCGGTTTTATGCCAGTTATGAGAGTCAGCTGGATCACCTCCCCACTCGCTCTTGCTTTTGCACAAAAGTTCCTTCCTGAGCATACTTGGGTTCCATTCTTCAATATCATTGCCTTTACGATCGGTACATACGTGAACGCGACCACAAAAAAGAAGCGTCTCGCAGCTCTTCGCAAGAGACACCACGATGAAGCTAGAGGAGGAAGATCCGACGACTACCCTGGCCCACATAATGGACCAGGAAACCAAATGGGAGGACCAGGACCAAAACGCGAATACTAATTTAACGAAGGGACGGATGGGAAGGGGGTCATTAAGATGAAATAGCACAGCATGAACCAAATCTGGCTGTGCTTATTGTCACAAATTTTCCTTATCATAATGTATTTTCGGTTCACGGATCTTAATTTGGCACGAGGTCAAATTTACTGGTTATGGGTGGCGACCGCTTGCAGATATCCTGTGGCCCATGCGAGGCCTTGCTTGCTCTTTTTTCGGGGGGGACAATACCACGTAAAAAGCCTCACCTCACCTGTTGTATAGTTTTTACGATTTCATTGGTTATAAGTAGAAATGAATGGGCGTTTGCTTGTCAATCTCTTCCATCTGAATGTGAATGCTGGGTGATACTTGGGTGGATTTGGAAAAGCAACCTGCCGAAGGCAACCTGTTTTTAACACGTCGCCTTTGTGGGATATGATTGCTACATGACATGAAGACGGAAAGGTAAGTCATATTCTTGTCATTTGTCATTGACATCCAGGCACAGCATATGATTACAATAACGGGTGTTCTAGGACATTACTGAGGGGTAAAGCTATGGAGGGGAAAGGATAAGGATAAAGTCGAAGCGAATTCTCTGTATCTCAGGGTTTTGGTGTATACGTTACTTTTTACATCAGTTTGGTTTGCACGTTTGAACGACTAAAGCGGAGTTTGCTTGAGCTTTAACGAAGGCACGCTTCGTTCTTCGCTACTCAGAACCCAGAACTCACAACCTACTATTCACTTTCCTTCGCTCGCATCATCCACTAGTCACAAGTCAGCCTGTCTGGTTTTAACGTAACTTCGGGCAATGTCAGCATTGATACCTTTATCCCCATACGTCCCCCCTCGAGCACGTGTTCTCTCACCCTCCGATCGATATTCAGGTGGCGCCCGGGGAAACACCCATCATGGACCTCTCCTGCGCAGTTCTTTCGATAATGGCTATAATGCCCTCGGAGGCAATGCAGCTATGATACCTGTCTCTGTATTCGGTGCCCGGGCCGGACATGGAGCACTCTCCCGTGGTGGAGGAGCCGGAAGAAACTATAATGATATGAACATATACATGGTGATGCCAATCAGGAGAGGTAGCGTGGATATTCCTACCA